TTTTTAAAAAAACACTCTGTCAGGCTATTCTTTGAATCACAGAGAAAAAAACTATGGAAATTTTTTTACTCTAACTTGTTTGGTTATTGAGCATATACGTTTCAAAGTTTAACAGTATTTTTTAACATTTTGGATGATTTTACTAATAAAATAAAAAAAAACTCTCTGTCACCATGTGGACCATTACATTTGTTATAATATCACTTAATTTTATAGTTGTGTCTTTTTTTTTTTTTGAATGAGAAGATGCAATTTTTATTTTTACAATTGTTGAAAAAAAAGTTAATTAGTAAATTTTACATATGATGTTAATTAGTTTTGATCTACATTAGTCCATCGTACACCCCAATTATTTATCGATGTTACAATAGAGCTTGGAGCAATAGAATTTGTTTCATTAAGACTACACAAAATCTCAGTTTCATAAATATATCCGAGAGGATGAATGGTTTGTCCAGTACGAATAGGAAATGCTCTATAAAAATCAGGAATATCATTAAATAACTTTATTTCCGAGAGTAACGGAAACATGACAACATTTCGACATAGTGTTAGCATTTGAGAATGGATACATAGTTTCTGCCGATCATAAAAGGACGAATACAAAATATAATTGATGGTGAAAATGGAACTGGGCCACAACTATATAGAAGGTCCTGATCCACTACAACGTGTCGATCTTTTATAAATTTCAAATTTCCACGTATAATAATAATACATAAAGTAATTTAATATAAATTAAAAATAATATTAAAAAACTGTTAATCTACAAAATTTTATTAATACCAACTATTTAGTCGAACAAATGATTAAGTATTAGTTTAATTGGATCTAGATATGTATGTTTTAATGATCAGCTATGTGTCTTGGCAAATCATTCTCGCTCTTGCCATTTACAGTGACATGTCTTGTGCCGTCAGAGGATTCTTTAATTACTGTAACATTTCCCTACAAATAGATTATTATTAATAAAATAGATCAAATTATTTATTAATTAATTAACGGTCAAAGATAATAAGCAATACAGTAATTACCTCTGCATCTACTGTTTTGGTAACAGTTGTTCTAACCCCATTGACTATTTGTGTTGAGGACTGTGTACTTACGAAATTGCTAGTTCCACGACCACCACTTCCTCCAGAATATGAGCTTGTTGAATATGAAGTTGTACTACTATTTGTTGGGAATCCCCCGAATCCCCCGAATCCCCCGAATCCTCCGAATCCTCCAAATCCAGACATCATGTTCATGTTATTGTTATGATTAAAAGCCCTCGATTGCATATTAGGTGGTATAAATTGATTTTGGAAGAATTGTTGATCAAATCCCATTGAAGTATTATCTAAATGTTATTTGTTGTCATAGAAAATATTAATTGATAAAGTTTATTATATTCAATAAATAATATATATAGGGAATATATATACTAAAGAAATTATTTAAGAATGGATCATTTCTGAAGAATTGCATGAATATTTCATTGGGATCATGGAACTAAAAATGCAAAAAAAATATAAGCATGTGAATCAAATATTAAAAAAATAAAAAAAATAAATAAATAAATAATTAGATTTACAAATGGTTGATTTGCATTTTGCGAAGGAAATCCATTCTTGAGGCCTTCTTCTCCATATGAATCATAAATTTTTCTTTTTTCGGCTTTTTTTTAAAAGAAACATAATATATTTTAATTAATTGAATCAAATCAACGAATGATGAATTAATGAATTAAAGAATGGAACAAATCAATAATAATAACTTACAATCACTTAATACTTCATAAGCTTCTGCAATTAATTTGAATTGTGCTTCTGCCTCTTCACGATTATTCGTATTTTTGTCAGGATGCCATATTAATGCTAAAAATTATTTTTGAAAACTAAGTATTTATTTGAACCTAAATTTAACGAGATAACAAAGTAAAGAACTCTTATAACCTTGTTTTCTGTATGCTTTTTTAATATCATCGATTGTCGCATCAACTTCGACACCTAAAATTTCGTAGTAGTATGTGTTCATTTTTAAATGTTTTTGATTTAAAAAAAATGAATATGTGTTTTGGAAATTAAATATTTTTTTAACTTTGTCAATTAACAGTCACCCCTTCATACAATCACACTTCCATAAATAAAAAACTTTTGTACAATCACAACTCCTCACACTTGAAAATACGTAATTTTAAAAAAAAATTCTACAATGTTCTAGCCGATTCATACATATCACATTTTATTACTATTATATATTAAATTCTTCGTGTAGCTTGTTTAATTTATACTAATTATAATTAAGGAAGTTGCCACGTAGAGATAATCGCGGGCTTTTTGTATTGCAAGACCCGAAAAATATGCTGTATCTGAAGTTACACGAGCCTTGCCATTTTTTTTCCTTTAAAGAAAAATCTTTTATTTAAATTTTAACTTATTCTAACTAGTCTCTTATCACTTGAACACACAAATTTTTATACGTTTTTAAATTTTATTTTAAACTTTTCAGTCATTTGCCTATTTGAAAGGACGAATCTTATTATAAGCTCAACTATGATGGTCCGAAATCCTCGTATTTTATCTTCAAAAGTCTTTAAAAAGGCTAATGTTAATGAAGAAAGTTTTGATGGTATTTAGTTAAACTCTTGTTAAATGTATGTGGGTTTTTCAAATTTACTCAAATACCTATTGTCATTATTATAAATGCTACTGTTTTAGATTTTATAAAAAGAAGGAGAAGCATACTAGAGAATCAACGATCCAGTATCTCATTATACACTTCTCCAATCCTAGTATTGACTTATTTTTTAGCATATTTGGTTCATCAATTTAAAATAATTATTGGGTATATACAATCAAGAAAATGGATTATATCATCTATACCAGCATTAATAATTCTAATTCAATTCACATTGTTTGTCGAAGGATCTCATAAAGATGTAAAAATCCTTTTATTTTAAATTAAAAATTTGCTTTGTAATAAATATTCATAATAATCTTTGTTGTATCAATGTAATAGATCATTGAATTTTTTATTTCATAATTATATAATATAATATATTAATAATCTATGTGTATAGATTATATATCGTTTTCAATCATCGGTTTTTTGGTATTCTTATTGGATAGGTTTAGGCATAGCTTCTTCAATTGGTCTCGGTACTGGCTTGCATACATTTGTGTTATTTCTGGGTCCTCATATTGCTGAAGTAACTTGGGCTGCTTATGAATGTGGGAGCCTTAAATTTGAAACTCATGGCCCAAATAGGTAAAGATTGAAATTTTTTTTTCTATTTTTTTTTAAAAAATTAGTAAAAATCTATTTATTAAATATTTTTTTTAAAAAACAAAGATTTCGATGTCAACCTACAATTGAAGGTTCGATTGCGATATCACTGTGGTCTATATTTCAAAAGGTTCAATTGGAATCTTTTTTTTGGGGATTTGGTACAGCAATTGGTGAATTGCCGCCATATTTTGTCGCTAGAGCTGGTTGGTTAGAAATTATTATTTAAATGACGTACATAATATATTTATAGTATATTATAATATATATTGACGTATACATATGTTATATAGCTGCTTTGTCTGGAAGTAGAAGCGAAGAATTAAAAGATATAGATAGATTGCTTAAACAATCACCAGAAAGCATATCATACAAGGAACGTTTTTTAATATCTATTCACAGATTAATGGGTCATTTAGGATTTTTTGGAATTTTTTTATTTGCATCGGTAATCAAATTATATATAAAGCCTTATAAAAAATTTAAAATTTAAAATATTACTTATAAAATATTATTTATTACTTAAATAAAGATACCAAATCCTTTATTTGATCTCGCTGGTATTATATGTGGCCAATTTTTAGTACCATTTACTACGTTTTTTGGCGCAACATTTTTAGGCAAAGCAGTTGTAAAGTCTTCTATTCAGGTATTCCCTTTATTATAATTATTTAATAAAATAATCGATTATTTTATATTCTAATATGTTTAAAATTGTATTATTAGACAGTGATTGTAATTTTATTATTCACAGAAGATACTATTAAAACTATTCTAGAAGTTACAAGACGATATCTACCATATATTCATGATAAGCTAGAAGAAGCCGTAACACTACAAACTAAAAGGTTGAAACGCGAAGAAGGCGAAGATGCACCTGATATTGGTCCTGTATGTTTATTTTATTCTTTTATTCATCACGCGTTGTTGTTCTATTATTACGGAAATCAATATTTATATATATATATATATTATGCTTGTAGGGTAATCCAAGCTATATATCACTTATTTGGAATACTCTTTTTAATTTGATGTTAGCTTATTTTGCTCTTAGTATAATTGAAACACTAGCGATTGCTCATCTTAAAAGAGTACATGATCAAGAGATCGAAAAATGGGAGCAAAAGATAAAGGAAAGAGTTATTAAAGATGATGAGAGCGAGGACGATGATGAGGATGGGGAGGGGGGGGATTTAACAAATATGACAAGGAGTGAGGGTGATATTAAAAAAGAATCTGATTTAAATAACCAAGGTTATTCAAGTAGTTAATCCATCCATCATGATGACAGCATACAATAATAAAAAATTTAATTGTCACAATTTTGTTTATTTATTTGTTTTCAGGAAAAAGTTTTTTTTTTGAAAATGCACTTTTAAATACGAATCAATAAATTTTTTAAAATTGATATTTCAGTAAGTAAATAAAATTTACATATCCTGGCTAATGCTATATAACGAATAAATGTAAATACATAAAATAAAATAAAATAAATAGAATATTAACAAAACTAAATAAATAAATTTTTATAAAATTTATTTTTCAAAAATCCACCACTACTATTCTATCTTCAAGCATTGGGGCAACAGTAACCCAGTCTTTAACAAAATCGGTCCTAGTTTGTGATTCAGAATCAACTGGTGTCTCTTCCAACTTAGCTTTGATCGTTTCGCCCAAAGATAAATTTAAAGCATTTTTGATGCTATGACGTGAAATATGACTATAGGCTGATTTTTCACGTTTTGATTCTGCTAATTTTTTCCATTTCTCAAAGGCATGGAGTACTGATTCTTTGGTATGATCCTCACAACTCATGTTAAATTTGATTGCACTGATGTAATAAAGTCCTATGAAATATCTATGGATAAGGGTGGAAAGAGTAATTCCATTCTCGTCATCTATAAGATATTTGGTGGTTGGCTCCTTAAAACTTTCGAATCCATCATATCCGGCTGCAATATATGCTCTTGTGCAAACAGTATATGTTTTTTTCATATCAAGTTTTCCGATAATATTATGTGGTCCGGGATCTTCAGCTAATTCCGCATCTTCTTCGGATGATTTTCTTTCAGTCAACCAGACATTACGCAAACGTTTAAATGGTTCAGTTTTAGGATTATATTCGACTTTTAATCCACTTACAATAGGAAATCTACCCTCTTGTTTTGGCACCATTGAAACGCCATTTTCCAATGCATCCCAGATTTGTTGACCTGTAATACGTACAACAACCACATTATCTTCAAAAGGAAATATCTCTAATAGATCACCTAAAGTGATTTCACCTGGTGGATAAAGCAAGTCTGACCTTATACAACCACCACATAAAATTGCACAATCAATATTGTAACTGATACACGGCTGATAAGCGTAAAGCATCAGATCAGCAACAAAATTTCCAAATGCTGTTTCTTGAGTCCTAAGTGATATTGATCTGCAATCCCAAGGTGTCATTGTATATGCTACAGGTTTTGACATTTTGGCCGTAATTTCAGATGTAGCTTCTTCAATTAATTTGACCAAATCTTGATCTTCCTCAATTGAGGATTTTACCTCATGGCGTGTTGCTATTAATTATATAATTAAGTTTAAATAAAAAAAATTTTTAAAATAAGATAAAATTGACAAAAATTACCGGTCAAAGTTTTGATCTTTTTTCTATTATCAACATCATCAACGTCAAGTTCTAAAATAGTCAATTCTCGGAAATCTGTCCCGCTTTTTACTACACGTACACCATCATCTCCTTCACTTCCTCCAATATTGTCGTCTCTTGTCCAATTCTTAATCACGTCACAACCTTTTCCTAAATAATAGAAATGATCATGACTTTTTACAAATATTTATTTATTTATTAAATTGATAGGTTATATTAGTTTATACAAAATGACAAGAAAATTTTTATAGAAACATAAGGATTATCATTAAAAACTTACCCTCCAAGAACCAAATCAATTTCATCTTTACACTCTTTAGCCAACATAATGTCATTTGGCAGCCGTGAATGTGACAATGCAATTACAAGATCGACAGCATGATTGTCGCGTAATTCTGTTGCAAGTTCCTTTCCAACTGTAATAAAATCTTTGTATTCCAAACTTGGTGGAAGTCTGTTTGAATATAAATAAATATATATAATTTTTAATCTCAAAGCATAATTTTTCTTTTTAAACTATTCTAAATTTTATTAGCTTACCCAGGAATTGTTTCTAACCACTCTCTATTATTTATATAATGAAACAATTGGATTTATTTAATATAATAATTTTTTAATATATAATATACATTGTGCTCGATTATTATATTTATATTTAATTACTTTTCAACTAATCCAATAATCCCAATCTTTAATCCATTCTTTTCTAAAATAATCCATTTTTCCCCACCAGTAATCGGGCCACCAGTTTCAGAGTTAAGAACATTGGAGAGCAACCATGGGAATTTGGTTTCCATAATCAATTTTTTGAGTGTAGGCAAACCAAAATCAAAATCATGATTGCCTAAACAAGCTACATCTATGCCAAGTCCATTCATTGCTGGTACCTTTTGTTCATTTTAAATAAAAAATCGGATGGTGTTTCTTATTTAATTGTTTGATTCATTTGAATTTATACTAAAAAGTCAATCAAATCAAAAGAAACTTTTAAAAACAACAATTATCATTAAGATTGATTGTTTGGATACTATGCCATATGTCGACCTTTGCTTATGCTACTTTCCACCGATGGGTTGAAAGCATCTCCACTAAACAATACACAAGAATTTTCAACGCCATATTTTTCTCGGAATTGTTTTACCACGGTGGCAAACCTTGCTACTCCTCCAATAGGCTCTTGTTTTTGTGGTTTAAGGTGATAAACATCATTAAAATGAAAAATTTGAATTTTTGGCATTTTGTTCAAACTTTACAAAAATCTTTAATTCGGATAAAAAATTTTTTTTTTATATATTGATATTATGCCTAATACGGAAGGATGATTTTTTAGGATTCAAATTCGAATGAAAACGGTGTTCCGCAGCAAAACCCAATTATATTTGTCATCCTGGGCCCACTTTAAAAGCTATTGGCATAAGGCTTTGTCAGAATATCTGGTTTCTTATCTTTAAAAATGAGCATTAAAAACGTTTGCCTTATATATATATATATATATCGAATCTAGAAAATTTGGAGAACTCCTTTGTTGATCAATTTATATATGTAGCAATTAGTGATGGGAATTTTTAACCACACTCTTGATAATTCCAAGTTATTAATTAGTTATTATTAACCACTTATTAACTATTTCATTCTGAGCAAGATCTATTAACCCAAAGAAACCTATATACAGACCAAGTCTCCTAATTTGGAAGCCTTATTGTTATTTATTTGCTATAAAAGTTCTTCAAGTTTGTTTTTTTAACACTTAAAATAAGTCACTAATAAAGTCATTAACTAATTAATAACTTGATCATTTTAAAGATAATTTGTATGTCCATCACTATGGCAAACGAGTTGGTGTGATACTTTGCTGCCCTTTTGAAAGTCTTTTTTTAAAAAAAAAATTCCCAATACTAATAATCAAAATAAACAATATTATTAGACTTTTGCTTTTTCATAATCTACTAAAAATCTACAATGATCTATTAATTTGTTCAAGTAAACTTTTACATAAATTTAAGTTTTTTTTTTCTTTTTGAACTTTAATGGATAAAACACATAAAACGTCAAGATCAATTGCACTTTCTGAGGAATATTCAGAGAGTCATTTGAGATAAATATGTTAAATGCAATAGAGAATAAAGTAAAAGATTGTTTAAAACTATTTGAATATTTGTTTATTCGAAGCATGCTTTTACAAAATTAAATGATGTAACAAATTTATTCATTTTTATAGTTCCAATCATATTAGAATTACAAGTGATAATGAAATTAAAACAATTATAATAGTGAATGATAAAACAGGTAAAGAAGTAATATACACTTTCTGGACAAAAGTTTCGGTCACCATAAACAATTTATTGCACAATAACGTACATAATAAAAATATAAATAATTTTTATCAATCGTAATTAAGATTTTCGTGCGAAATTTCAATAACAAAGAATAAAAAGCTTGACCAAAAAAATAATTTTGAAAATGATCTCTAAATTTGATTTTTATTTCAATCATAAAAAGCCCGCTATGCTGTTCATTTAAGCATACAATTAATTAAAAAATATGAAGAAGGAAACCAGGCATCAGTTGGATTACAACTTGCAGTAATTTTATATGTATTAAGTTATTGAAATGCCTACTATGTTTGGTATTTAATATAAATGCTAAAATTCCTTCAGCAAAGAATGAGTTTTTTCCAAATACATTTATGACTGACAAAGATAATAAAAACAAGGGCTTGGAATAACTCGGATCGATATACAAAGTAGTTTTTTCTAGATGTTTCTCTGTATTAAAATGCACAGAAACCATATGGATAGATGGCCGAAACTATAATGCACTGGTTCCGTTAGTGTTGGTATTGGTATTATATTGGTATAGCATTCGTATCGTTTCCATATTTTAGGCGGGGAAGTGTATTTCTCCATGCCAAAAATGCGTTTTTCATGTAGAAAATTTTAATTCAACCTATTTATGTTGATATTATGTGAAAGTATGATTTATTACTCGAAGGCAACACTACTACATGTTAACAACAGCGTTTATCTGCCCCGCAAATAGGAAATTAAAATATCTACATGAAGACTTGGGAGTTTCAAGTTAATTATTAATCTCCTTTGAGGAGTAGGGTGGAAGGAAATAATGGTGGATACAAATCATTTTGATATCAATAAGGGATATATCAAAAATACTGCTGTTGTTGACAGTTCTTATAGCCTTTCACACAAACATACACGCCACCATTACTATTTGATTAAAGCTAATAACTTTTAGAAGATGGTATATATACGTTTAGGGCATCTTACTAGTTGAGTACACTTTACAAGAATTTGCACTTTCTGCGTCTATTGTATTGTTTAATGGTTTTTATTGTGTAATTGGTTGGTAATTCAATTCAACGCGCACCTCCCAGGAAAATGGACGCTAAAATATAAAAGGCCAACAGTTTTAGCAAATATATTAAGTAGAGTTGGCAACATTAAAAATTTATTAACAGCTCCATCATCCATACACACACAGTAAGTAATACTTGATGTTAAATTTCCTTTTTAAAATTTGTCCCTTTCTTAAAGTTATAGTTAATTAAAAATGAAATAATAAAAATGAAGCCTTCATCACTGTTATCAATTGTAAAAATAAGAGACAGTTTTTTTATGGTAGTATTTTATTGAGGTTCTATGGTGTTGTATAAGTAGCATTCATAATTTCCTTCAATTTTCCAGATTTTAAGAGAATTGTCTAAAAATTTTTCTTGATCTTTGTCTATTAATATATCTTTTTGGTTGGTACTTTTGTTGCAATAGAATGTATCATCAAAAAATTCAAACCGTCTTTGACCAGAACAAGAAGCAAGCAAAGGAAAATAAGGATGAAAGGTTGTGGTTGAAATTAAATCTATTAAAAAAAAACCAGATCTACTATGTTTATTATTAATCCTGATTTCAATTTTTTCTGACATTGTAATCATTACCTTTATGCCCATTCATTTGTAAATTTAATCGTGTCATGTTTTTTTCATCAGGATTTGCCAAGTCATAAAAAATTATTTCTCCATCCTCATGATAAAAAAATGTTTCAATAAAATATTTTTAAAAAAAATATTATATTATAATTTAAAATATTATTTTCTTACTTGATCCCCGGTTACTAAAAAACCACCGCTGTTATCAATATCAAATAGGATCCTTTGATTTGTTTCACCTTTACGATATAACTTATATAGAACTTCACCGGTATTTCTTATATCCCAACAACGAATATAATTATCTCGTCTTGACGCAGAGAAGAGATATTTCCCATCAAGTGAGAATTGCAACTATTTTTAAAAATTCAAATTGATAAGTTATCTTTAAATTAAAAAGTATCTTAATAAATTTTACCTGGGTAATACCATCAAATGGATCATCTTTATTTCCTTTAAAAAGATAAAGCAATTCGTTATTATTCTCATCATAAAGTCCTATTGTTTGAGAATAAGAACCAGCTGCATATAATCCTGACCTATCTGGATTAAATGTAATCGATGAAATTATGCCTAATATATAATAAATATTAAATAAAATCGTTGAATTCATGCGATTGATTAAATGTTAATCATACTTGTAATTCAAAAAATTTCAATTTTAATGAGAACCTTTTTGTCCTTCTTTGCTTTTGCGTGTAGGTGTCGTAGGACATTTATCTCCCTCAAAGTTTGGACGAGTTGTATCAAAAATCTGAACCATGTTTTTAAATCCACAATATATTCTATGATTTTTTTTGAAAATTGTAATCAATCTTGAAAATAAAAAAATCCTTCACAAGTGTTTAAATAATAAACCTTACTTGCTACCATCCAGGTTAAATGATAATGAATTTGGACCTACGATTTGTTCTCGATGATTGATTATAGTATAAGATGCCCTTAACTATAAATATAAATATAATATAAATATAAATATACAAATTTATGATTAACAGACTATATATAAATAATGCTCATAAAAGTTGTTACTTTTCCTGTAAACGCGTCCCATAATCGCACAGGATGCTCTCTACTTGATGTGATGAAACAACAAGTTACGTGGTCTATTCTGGAAATTTTGATGAATTAGAAATTATTTGTAAGGATTGTAACCATTCAACGTATTATTATTCACCTTGACTAGACATCATAGGATACCAACAACAATCATACACTGTGTCCCCTTGGTGATAACTGAGTGCTGGCGTCAAGTCACATTCTATATAATCTTTTCAAAATTATATTATATACTGTATGTATATATTAACTGAAGTGTTGAATCAACCTACCTTTTTCAATTTCAAAAATATTCGTTGGTCTAAAAAATGGTTTTATTTTTAAAAAACATTTAATTCTTAATAATAGTGTAATAGTAATAATAATAATAATAATGACAGCAATAATAAATAATAATTGCATACAATTCGAAAATTCTCAATAAATTGTCATTTGAAGAGGTTAAAATACAAGTTCCATCAGGCGACCTTGATAAATAAAACTAACAATCAATTAATCAACATCAACAACATTCATGTAAAAAACATTTCCAAGGATAATTAATTACCACTTGGCAACTTTAAAAAAATTATCTTCCGAGCCATTTGGTATGTAATTAGATTCTTTTGGGTTTACATGACTTTTGCAAAATTTGTTGATGCTTTCCAAAACGGTGTGATTAAAAAGTTTTTTGGTCGAACAAAGAGAATTGAAAGATCGAGAAAAATCATATTTGAAAAGTTGAAAATATTGTTCGTTTTCTAAACTTGTTTCAACTTCTGATAAATTAGAAGTTTCATTCTGTTTTTCTAAAAATTCGCTATTTACTTGAACATCATCTGAAGTGAAATTCATTGTTACAAAATTAAAAATCAAAGATCAATCTTAGATTATCAATTCTATAATTAATCAAATTTTTTTGCTTGAAGTAATATCTCAATATATTATGGATCAAGTTAAAACAACTGTTGCAGCAAAAAGAAGACTTGACCATTTCACTCATTCTCTAAAACCGCAGGCTTTTCAAAATGACAAAAATGATGATATGACAAAATACGGTGTTCATACATCATTTAATCCTGAAAAGAAAAGTAAATTTTTTGATATTTTTTCATTTTATTTTACCTTCTGTACTCAATTATTTGAAATGTACAGTTACCACAATTCGTATCGGTGATGTTTCTTTAAACATAACGGAATCAAAAAATCTCGAACTTGTTCCCGAATACCTTGAACCACTTTATGAAGAGTCGCAAGTTTGTAAAAAAAACTTTTTAATTTTAAACATGGATTTCACAAGTTCAATATTATTAATCGTTAATATTTTAGGAAATCCTTCGACATTTAAGATGGTTAGATATTTTAAAATGTTGTGTTTTGATCAGTTGATTGAATTAGATTACTCATTTTTTAAATAATTATTTAGGATGATGCAAAAAGATAAACTTGGTCAAGATATATTTCTCATAGGGTAAACCTTTTTTAAAAAAATCAAGTTAATTCAATTATATTATCATTATAATGACAATAATTTATTTAAATCAAGCCCGCCGGGAAACCTACGTAGAGCCCTTGTACTAAGATATGCTCAATTAACAAATCGAGAAATCGAGTATGTTCCATTATCAAAGGACTGCACCGATTCTGATCTTAGACAACGTAGAGAAATATCTGGTGGGACAGCATATTATGTAGATCAAGCGTGTGTAAGAGCTGCAATAAACGGCAGGATTTTGATTTTGGATGGAATAGAGAAGGCAGAGAGAAACGTGCTTCCTATATTAAATAATTTATTAGAAAATAGAGAAATGGCTTTGGAGGATGGTAGATTTTTGGTTCATCCAAAGCGTTATGATTTGTTGATGAAATCAAAAAATAAAAGTTTAATGAAAAATTGGAAATTGGTTAAGACATCAGAACGATTCATTGTGGTGGCTTTAGGCTTACCTATCCCACCTTATGTAGGGCATCCATTAGATCCGCCATTGAGATCTAGATTTCAATCAAGAGACATAAAGCAACCAAGTTTTTATACGCAAGTTAATCATTTAAAAAAAATAGCTCCCGTTGTTACTGATGAAGTAATTGAACGTTTGGTTTCTGTTGCCATTGTACTCAGAACTCTTCAACGGGAAGGAAGTGAGGGAGTTGTAATACCAGAATTCCCTCTTTCAATTGATCTTAGTATTATGATTATTCAAAGTTTCCCAAACATTGAATTACGCTTCTTATTAGATCTGTTATATCCATGGCCATTATTACCCACATGCGAGAATCAACAAATGAGCATCATAGAAGCTACATATCATCGTTTTGGAATGCTTTTATATATAGAAACTAACACAGAAAATAGTGAGGGCAATCAACAAAAAAGTGAAGTAATAGTTCAATGTTCATCAGGTTATCAAATAATTAACATTAAAAAGTCTGAAACAATAGAAAACCCCTCTTCAAGTGACCTTTCTATTTATCAAATTGAATTGACTTTTAAACCAAAAGACTCAAACAACAAAAATATTACAACTAAAGTTTTTGGTGGTGCCGGCATCCCTTCACCAGCTGAATTTTTTGTGGAAACAGATTACCACAAAACCATTTTTAATTCGATGTTAATAGCGCATTCTGTTAGTGATTTTTGTGTAATTGGAGTGAAAGGTTGTGGAAAAAGTGCTTTGATTAGACATTTTGCAAAAAACCTCGGGTAAAAATAAATCATATATATTTAAATAATTTAATTTAATTTAATGATAAAAAATGGTATTTATTTATCATTTATTAATATATAAATGACACTCAGTTACACTGTTGAATATATACCACTTTATAAAGATATGTCAGCACGAGACCTTCTTCAACATCGGAGTACAACATTTGCAGGTGATACTGTTTGGGAAGATTCATTGTTAATCAAAGCAGCATTATCTGGAAATTTAGCTATAATGGATGGTATTGACACACTTTCATATGGAACACTTGTAACCCTACAACGCTTAATTAAAGAACGTGAAATTTCATTACCTAATGGAAATAAATTGATTCACCCTATTAGATATAAGAATTTAATGCAGAAATATGGATTCACAGACAAGCAGTTACATAATAAAGGCATTTTTATGATTCATCCTGCTTTTAGGATTGTAACATTAGCTCGACCTGTTAGCGGTAGTGGCGATGAAGGAAAACCTGGTTCATGGCTATCGCCTGAAATCGTCTCTTTGTTTCATTTTATTGTTGTAAGACCATTGAAATATTTGGTAAATTGCTTTTTATATATATATGAGATTATTGGTAATATATAACATCTAATAAATGATCCATGGATATTTTAAATAGGAAGAAATGCATGTTCTCGAAAGCTTGTCACCAGGGGTAGATAGAAATAACCTTTCTTTGCTTTTACAATTTGCTAATCGGCTGCGTCAAGACAAAGATGAAACCATTAAGATGTTATCTAATGCTCTTTCTACAAGGTGATTGGTTCATCATTAAATAACTTATTTATTGATTTTTTTGATTAAATTTCTTAAAATTTAAAATTTATGGTGTAGACAATTGATCCGTATTTGTCGACGTCTAGCAGTGTTTCCTGATGAAAGTTTACATCAGGCTATCCATAAAGTTTCTTTATCAAAATTTTTGCCTTCTTTAGCAAAAGATGCATTAGAAGAATTATTAGTAAAAAATGGTATACTTTCATCTGAAAAATCGTATAATAACGAACAGGTAAAGAATTTACAATTTCTCATCTTAATAAATATACACGCTCTCACACACACACATATATATCTTTTATATACATCTTTATCATTATTATTATTATATCAGTTAAAAATTGAATTACTCCCAACAAGATCTAACCCTAGGCTATTGAGAATTGGAAATGTTGAACAAAATATTTCACAAGATTCGAATCCACTTTTGGTCCCTAATATACTTTTTTACGAAAATCCAAAGCAGACAGAAATTTTGATGCAAATGTTACAAGATTACCAATTAGGCAAGCAAGAATATTAAAATTTTGTAAAAATGTATCGTGACAATGCTATTATAATAGTTTGCTAAGAAATATTTAATATATTAGGCGAACATTTACTTTTAATTGGCAATCAAGGTGTAGGAAAAAATAAGTTAGCAGATTATTTTTTGCAACTTTTAAAATTACCAAGAGAATATATACAATTACATCGGTTTGCATTCATTTTTAATTGCTCGAAATTCTTGATATAATGTTTTTTTCAATCAATATCATAATAATATTTTTACTTTTTAGTGATACGACTGTTCAAAGTTTAACCGTTACACCTTCTATAGTAGACGGTGTCTTACAATTTGAGGATTCTCCATTAGGTACGTTGGTTAAAATTTTTATTAAATGACACATACAAATATATATAATGTTAATTTTAAAAAAAAAAATTAGTAAGAGCTGTTAAAAACGGTATGGAATTAAACAATTGCTTTTCAAAGATGTACTTTATATTAATTATCATCATTAAAAAAACTAAAAATAACTGCATTTTTTTGAAAAAAGGGTATATATTGGTTGTTGATGAGGCTGACAAAGCACCAACATATGTAACGTCAATCATAAGGAATCTTTTAGAAGATGGACAAATGGTACTAGGAGATGGTAGAAGAATATTATCATCCATTACAACTGAAAATATGAAAGAAGAATGTATTGTCATTCATAGAAATTTTAGAATGATTGTTCTTGCTAACAGACCAGGTAAATATTCTATTTAATAATGTATTTTATATTTGGCACTTTTAATTAATATTTATTTTTTGGTGATTGTTATTATAGGTTATCCATTTCTTGGTAAGTAATTGTATTTTGAACTATAGAGTTAACTATTATTATTTACATATGTAAATAACTTAATTTTTATTAATAAAATTTCCTGTTTAGGTAATGATTTTTACCGTGAGGTTGGAGATGTTTTTAGTTGGTAATTTTACATTTTTTTTTTTTTTTTTAATATCTATTTTACAAGCTTTGATTGTTTATCATAATAATTAAACTGGGGTTATTAGTCATGCAGTAGATAATCCTGGTCCAGACTCTGAGATGTTTTTATTACGCAAATATGCACCTGACGTCCCGGAAGATTTATTATTGAAGTTAACAGCAGCATTTAGTGATTTAAGAAAATTAGTAGACGAGGGATTAATCAGTTACCCTTATTCAACCAGGGAATTGGTTAATGTTGTTAAACATATGCAGGTCCTTAAGTGTTTCACGCTTGATAATTTTTTATATTTATCATATCCTACTTATTATTAATATATTATTTTCCATAGGAGTTTCCTAAAGAAGGCATTGCACGTATTTTACAAAATATTTTTGATTTTGATCAATATGATCAAGAGTCAAAAGAGCTTTTGTTCAAGGCTTTTGAAAAGCATGGAATACCTGTTGCGCTAGAATCGGAGTTTATGATAAATTTAGGTGAAAAAATATCATTAAGTGATCCAATTGTAACGGAGGTTTGGACAAAAACCGGAAATAAAATTAAATATTGTGAAATTAAAAAAGAAGAAATTTTAATGAAAGTAAGATTAAGTAAAGTTTATATAGACTTGTTTTGGAAATTTTAATTAGAATTTTTTTAAAGTTGAAATTTTATAAAGGATGGTTGGGAAATTCCAGTTGGAACCCCTAAAGAGCTTGAAAGGACTGAAGGTAATTCAAATTTTTGATTGATGATTGAATAAATGAATGAATTATATTTAGACGATTTCATTATTATATTAATTTTTTGTTTGTCTTTATTCCTATTTATTTATTTATTGTATTTCTTAGGCAGAACCATGACCTTTACTGAACAGACATACAGTTTTAAAATACCTACACGCGGGGAAGCATTAGACATAGTAGGATTGTCTGATGGATCTTTATTTGTTGTTACGACAAATCCTATTACATTACACGCAATTAATCAAAATCATCGAAAAATTAGAAGCATGGATTTGTATGAATATTTTCCATTACAAAAAGGTAACAAGTAAAACTTAATTTTAGAAATTTTGATATTGTATTTAATCGTTGTTATAATTTTGTAGCACCACCAGGGTTAAAGATGACAATAGTACAAACACAAGAAAATGGCTGGTATTTGTTATTGCATGATCCAATAGCAAATTCACTGCTTTGCATTGACTTTGCAAGAAGTCCAAAAATGTCTGTCTTGGTTTTTTTAAATAAAATCCCTGTAATTATTATTTGATAATATAAAGATGAGATAATTGTATAATTGCTTTTATATACTAATTTCTTGTTTTTAAAAACAATTTATAGTTGACAGGGTTAAATCCAACAAAATCTGTAATGCTAAAAGATTTTGAATCTACTGGTATTTTAGGTAATTATATTACTATATTTTGTTTAATTTAATATATTTGATGTTTTACTAAATATATATACGCATTTAAAGTTTTCTACCAGAGCGAAAGATCAACTATTCTAATGTTAGATTTTAATATAAATACAATGTATACAATTGAAGTGCCTGTTAAAAGTAGGTTTTCAAGCCTCTTAACATATATTTTTTTCAATTAATGATTAATTACAATAATTTTCTAATTATAATTAAAATGTAGTTTCAAAATTATTTTTGCTTAAACCAAATGCATGGTTACTCAGAGATAGTGTTAGCGGGCATTATCATATCGTTTACGCAAATAACCTTGATGGGCAGAATTTGTAAATATTCTACATTTAAAAAGAGGGTTTTTAATTTAAAATAACTAATTATCCGAATATATTTATTAGGGTTCCAAACATCATACTGCAAATTGATATAAAGAGTTTGCTGAAGCCTATCCCAGATGAAATTACTTTCATATCCCAAGATGTATTTCAACAAGCAAGTTTGTAAGTATTGTATTGATTTTTTTCTTAGATGTATGGTAATGAAAATTGCAATTTCTAATTATTTGATTATTAAAATATAAATTAGCATGTCTACAAGATTTTTACAAAGTAATGATGATTCTATAGCTGCTTCTATTATTTTAAATTCGCCCGAGACTTTGGTTGACGATATTAAAACTGAAATCATTTCATATATGAGAAAGCCTGGAGATGATTGCAAAAATTGTTTCAATGATCTTAAAAATTCCTCTATATCGCTTAAGAAGACAGGACAATTGGCAACTGTTATTCCATTAAAGGTATTAATGATAATTATATTTATTAATGAATTTTCAAAATATTTTATCGAAATTAAAATTTTTTTAAAAAAGGACGGGAGAAGTGTAGGAAATTTAGAGATATTTAATCCTGTTGAAAATGCGTTATGGCGCATTACAATTCCTTTATCAATCCAAGTGCCTAGTTTCAGCATAAGGTATACATCAAACAAATTATTTATTTAAATATTAAATTACGTTACAATAACACTGATGTACAAATAAATAAATATTATTATATTAGTGATTCAAGACCTATCGAAAATCCCTATTTATATTTTGATAGAATAGCAGCAACACTGTTAGAATTACCTAATGGAGATTTATTAACAATGGATATTAGTGGTAAGTATACGAGTTTATATGATTGATGAGGCTTAATGTTATTTACGTATTTAAAAAAACCTTCCCTAATTTAGGCGTTGTGCGTATATGGCAAGTGGACGCTGGTCAATTAATTTTGGCTGCCAATACTTGGAGAAAACTCGTTGGAAATCTAGATCAGCAAAAGTTGTCGATTATATACGAAACTGATGAGGTTATTAGGATTTGATTAATGTGACATTATTTTATGTAATGTTTTTTAAAAAAAAATTAATAATAAAAAAATAGGAAAAATTTTCAAGGGAAAGATTCGGGAATGAGGTTCAACAAATATTTCAAGACAGGATCGGTGAAAATATTGGAAGTGGCGAAGGTGGAGGTGAAGGTGAAGGCGGCGGCGAAGGATCTGGTAGTGGTAATGGCGGAGATGGTGGCGATTCATTGAATTTAATGGGTAGAGAACCTACCTTTATAGATGTTAGTAAACTGAGTTTGGTAAGTGGATTTTTATTATAATTGGTATTTATACGTTTAGATTATTAAATGAATTGTCATGAATAGAGAACTGAAATCCCACCACCTATCAAACTTACAGCAGCACAAAGGTTTTTGATTTCTAAAAACAAATAATTGCTCAATTTAACAATCATACAATCAATCATCTAATAATCTTTTTTTTTTTAAAAAATACAGAGATTTGCATGAGTTGACTATGCGTAAAAAACGAGAACAAATAAATATGACACAAGAAAATATGAATTTATTTCAATCATATTTAGTGAATGTGCAAAAGGAGATTCATGAATTGCGTGTGATTTTGGAAAGTATAGAGGCTAAAAAAAAAGAACGTGTTTGGCTTAAGAATCAAAGTTCTGGAGATATTGATGATACTAAACTGTAAGGATTTTTGATAAAATCTATGCAATATTTTTTTTTGTCTAAATATGCAAGTTTATTGATATACGATCATATAACCGCATATACATAGGATTGAAGGATTGACTGGAGAAAGTAATATTTATAAGAGACGTGGTGATAATGATCCTGATTTAGGTTTTTTTCAGGATAAACCTAAAAAAATGGTTTTTGCTTTTGATCTTAGTGCAAGGTATAAATTTTAACAAAAAAATTAAGAATAAAATTAGAATTTAAAACATTACTTTATTTTTTATAATTAGTATGTTTAGGTTTAATTCTCACGATAGAAGATTAGATAGATCTATGGAAGTGGCACTTAGTAAGTGATAATTGTTAATTAAAAATGTTAAATTTGAATTGTAATTACTTATTTTGATTTTACTTTAAAAATAGTGATAATGGAATCGTTTAAATCATTTGAGAATAAATTTCAGTACCGTATTGTTGGGCATAGTGGAGATTCACCGAATGTAGAATTTGTTAAAGAAGGAAAATATCCACGAAATGAAAAGGAAGAGTTCAAAATATTAAGCCAAATGTATTTACACTCGCAATTTTGCCTCAGCGGCGGTAAGATCTCATGTTAAAATTTTTTAGTTTTTAATAATAGGCATGATTATTCTTAAAATTTATTCTTTGAATAATAAAGACAATACTCTAAATGCAACGGCTAATGCTATAAAAGAAATAACAAAAGAAGAGGCTGATGACTATTTCGTTGTAATACTTTCTGATGCAAACATCGCACAATATAACATTAATCCAACGGATATTTCAAAAAGTATGTAATTAATTTATTATTATACGTAGATGCACGTATATTTACGTATATATTAACGTCATTGATTCAATTAGCACTAAAATCAGATGATAGAGTGAATGCATTTATAATATTCATTGGATCTATACAAAATCAAGCCGAAAGGTATTTATTTATAATTTTCAATTTATTAATAAGATTATTAAGTCAATTAACCATTTTTCTACTTTTGATTTATACTAAAATAATAATGAAAGACTTCGTGATAGTCTTACCGGGCATGCACATGTTTGTATGGATAATAAGGATTTACCGAAAATTATGAAATCAATTTTTTTAGCTTCAATGTTAAAAGGCTAAATTTTGTGGAATCAAAATTAGTTTATATATTTATTTGGACATTTGGACAATGTAATTAGAAAATTTGGAGTTACATTATAGTAATTGAATAAAACCTTTAGATAATTTATTTATAGTAAATATTTAAAATCTAACAATACTAGGTTAATTAATAAATAGATAAAGTTATATTGTCTTTAACGATTAGCTTGGAAACACGCTCTAAAAATCATCGATTAGTTAATATTAAATTCTTTTTTAAAGAATAGATCGAGATCTTTCAACTGATAAAACCCTCCCTGTTCAAGTTTTTAATTTACATTGGTCCGCGTGAAGATTCAACTAGTATCGGTAGTGCCGGGTACAGTTAGATGTTTCACCTCTTTGTAGAGTAAATTAATCTATTGCATTATTAACAATTGAAGTTGTAATTATTTTTCCCAAAAAATTTCTATTGATTATTATTTTGAGTATATTATAGTTATAATAGACATGCGATGTTAAAATTATTGCTAGAGTAATTTCAAACGCGTGTTTTTACAATTCTAAATTTTCCGCTGTTACGACACGCACGTATAATGCAAGGCACTTAGTCCCTACAACTTCCTGCGTCACGGTGTCAGTTTCAATTAGTATATACCTTGTCAAAACTCTGACGATTGGCAAAAACCCTCAAATGCGAAACTCTGCCGAAACTCTAATAAACAATTAATGTGTAACCTGTCGAAACTCTATCGATTGATTTCTGGGGGAGTTTTGCCCATAACCTTAGTCTTTATTGAGGGGTTGTTGTGATCTTTAAAAAATTGAAATTGTAATTGAATTGATTGTAAATGTTAAAACTGAATAAGTTATATTGAAAAATAATATGTGAATAATAAAAATTGCTAATATCTTGAATGTGTATAAATAAACACTGTACATTATCTCACACCACTACATTGTGGAATAATGATGTGGGTTGAAGAATCCCTTTCAAATCTAAACCATACATGTTGGCCAAAATTAATTTAGTAAATGATCATTGCCAAATTCAAAATGCCAAAAATTCTGGGTATATAGTTTTTTATTTGGCAAATGCAAAACCAATTTTGGCTATCTAAACTAAGATCATGGGTCATAAAATAATGAAAAAACTAAAACTAATACTAATACTAACACATGAGAATTTCCAAACCTTGTCATAACATTACTAAATTTTGATCCCTGTAATTCTTAGTAACAAATGTTCATTTTGGTTTTGTTGCAGTATGCCCCAAATGGCAACATTCCAAAAAATCGAACAACAAGTACGAAGAAGCGAAGCAGAGGTTGGAAGGTGGGAGAAGGGAGATAAACAGAAGAAGATAGATGAGTTGTTGGGAGGAGATGCAGAAAAACGTGAAGGGAAGTTTGATTATTTGATTAACGAGAAGAAGAAGTTGGAGAAGGGCAAGGAAGATTGGAAAGGACAAGTGGTGAAGTTACAGGATGCATTGACTGAATTTAGTAAAGGAAAAGGCAATGAACAAATTACATAAAAAAATATAAAAAATTATTTTCCATTCATTCCATTTCGTTTTATTTAATTATGAACTTTTATATATTGTGTTATTGTTCATGACTTTAATTTTTATTATTATTTTATAGCTTTTTTACTTGTTATTTGGTATACTGTTTGCAACCTTGATTAACTTGGGTTTTTTCTTGCAGATAATCAATCAGCCTTCAGTGCCCACTGATGATGTAATGAACCAAAAAAAAAATTCATGAAAGCATTACCTTAAAGAAGATTGAAACTATTTCTTTATCTTCATTCAATACCAATTAATTGGCAAAAGTCATGAAACACAACGTAAAAGTTACATGTCTTATATCCAAAAGCATCTGAATCCATTACCAAAAATCACAATACTTGAACTTGATGTCACAACCAATAAGATTTTACTTAGATTGTATAATGACTCATGTCTACTATTCAACTTATCTATGGCACTGATGTTGTTCTGGGCCAAACTGCTGCCCAACCAAGGAATAAAATATAAGAAAAGAAGTCAGGAACAAGATAGTGTTACCACCCTAGCTAGTCAAAAACGAAAAGCAGAAGACTATCTAGAAGAATTTAGAATATGGCGATATGAAACAGTGAAACTGCCTGAAATACAAGGAAGTGTTGAGGAAAGGTTAAACGACCTAGTAGACAAATTGATAAATCGAAAGTATAATGTTGCTTTCGAATACTACTATGTCCTTGGGAAACTTTTATTAGAAAGTCCTTCAACCTACAAAGCCAGGATAGTTCAACGTTTAGATCAATTTAAAGGAATTAGGATGGCCAACATAGTGAGAAGAACTCATACGCTATTTAGAGTGGTGGGACTATCTTACTTAACAATAAAGAAATCAACCCCTACGACCTTGGGAAAATTTACAGATAAAGATTTTGAAGAGTTCATTTCAAGATTAAGGATGATCATGATGGAAAATCTAGAACAACAACTACTTCTAGACAGTGCCATAGAAGAAACTGTTCCTATTTCGACGGAGCTCAATGTTGGTGAGGGAGAGATGTTACCGGAATTAGATTTGGACGCTCTTTTGGCTGAAATTAACTAATTCCGAAATTCTTAATTTTTATTATTCTATTATTTTGAATGGATATTTTCCTAATTAATTGAATTGTATATAAGGAGCTTGAATTCGATGTACTTGAAAAATAACTTTGTGATAAGTTAATTAGTTTCGACTAAATAAACTAAATAAACAAAATAGTAATTATTTTATTTAACACCTTTATCTTCTTTAAACAAAATTATCCGCCAATACTAAAATTAATTCGTTGATAACACCTATTCATTCTGATCCACACAAATACAAAAATAATTGTTATCACCCATTAAAACACGCTCTCCCAAATTTAATCGGTGACAGTAATATTAATATACAGAAATTATCAATAATCATTTTATAAACGCTGTTGATTATTTTTTTTTAATTAGTAATAAATGTATTTATGTTTCAAATTAATAATCTCTCACTCAATTTCATTTATCCCCCCCCCCCAGTTTTTTCACAGAAATTTAGCAATATCAATATTGTTTAAGTTCTGGGTTCTTTTTCATTTTAAATATTTTTATTAGAAGAAAAATTTGACAAAGAAAACAAAGAAAATTATTTTTTAGGAAAAGAAATATTTAGGAATTAGGAAAAATGACCTCTCGGACAAATCCTTGATATACAAAGAAAGTATTCCCGAGCCCTATATCTATTCCAAACAAGTTTCAATTGTAATCCTTGTATAATAGATTAACATTAAGAAAACTCAAAATAAAAAAATCGGCTGAGAGATTGATTTTCCTAGTCCAAATCCCATTTTATGATTTAATTTTCGCAAATGAATTAACATTTTACTTCATAATTTTGGTTGCCATTAAATTGGCCAGAATTATAAGAGGAACAATTTCAAAATTTTTATAACACAACATCATCAATTAACTTGACATGACTCTTGTTGCACTGAATTTATTAAAAAATTCCACATAACTTGATAGCTTTTACTAGAATAATCAATTTACACTGTTTTTTTTTTAAAAAAAAGTTACATGAAAATTTAACTCGTGTCAATTTAAAGACCAGTTATTTTGGATGTATTACTGTAACACACACTGTAGAGAATTAAAATGAAATGCAAACCATTTAAAAATCTTTATTATTATTGAATTGAGCAAGAGTTCCTATTTGTAATACAAATTCTTATTTGAATTATTTGTTTTTTTTTATTCATTTATTCATTTATTCATTTATTCATTTATTCATTTATTCAAATCACCCGAAACATTTGTTTGTCCCTGTAAAAAAAACTGATCTGTGATTAAATAGATCATATTCATGAAAAAATCATGGAAAGATTACAGGGGAAAGATGGACTTTGCCACTGTTGCAAATTCATGGAAAATTTTCAGGCAAATAACAGTTTGAATTGTTCATTTATTTTGTTTATTTGTTTATTTGAACTATTTGTTTTATTTGTTATTTGAATCATTTGAATCATTTGTTTTATTTGCTTTGCTCTCTAAGCTGAGCAGAGCCAAGTTCAAGAAAATAGATACTTAAATTGTTTTTTAGGTAATATGGGTAAATAAAATAATAAGTTAACATTCATTACTTGAAAAAATTTTATGTAACATCAAACTCTAGCCTGGCTCAAACTTGAAATTTGAGCTTTAGCTCAAGCCAGCTTGGCTTGTTTGGCAAGACAAATGATGAACTGATCACCAATTTAAAAGCCATTTGCTCCATAAATCCCAAAGTATCCTTGGTGAAAGGTGGTTGTCTGCACTGAGAAATATAATAGTAAACTGTGGATGTTATGGAGTCATCAAACATAACTTGTGCAGCCAAAAGACTTTTAAATGTACATCTTGCAAAACTATCATTGACAGAAATGTAAATGGAGCCTGTAATATACCTTTAAAGTAACCCAACGAGAGTTGCTAATGTTGTTGGTGCTTACATCTGACACGCCTTATTGCAGGTTGTCTACATAGTGCTTGTACTGAGATATAAGCAGGTTCAAGAAGTTAATTTTTTTTGGATTAATTTTGTGTAATACAAATTTACTAAGTGATACATGAAGCATTTTTTAAAATTTATAATAAAAAAAATTTTTTCGATTAGAAAAGCACATGAATTCCGAAGAAACTATTTTTATTAAATCAGAAAAAGAAACCTACAAAGAGATAAAAGTAGAAAGTATAGAGCTAAAATTTGACAATAATGTTACAATATTACGAGATGTAAAAGGCATCTCTTCAAATAGCAATAATAATAATAAATGTTCAAGTAATAAAAGATCTGTTAATAATGTTGATAAAGATCCCGAAACACTTGCTGCAGAGTTAGCCATTAAAAGAGCAAGAAATACAGATGCTGCTCGTCGTAGTAGACATCGTAAAGTTATGAAAATGGAATCACTTGAAAGCCAAGTTTCAGAATTATCATCAAAAAACCATACATTAAAAACTCATTTAGCTGTATTGGAAATTGAAATAAAAGGTTTAAATGAGAAAAATGAAGAAAATGATTCAAGAATTAAAAAATTAGAAATTCAATTGGCTGAAACTTATGAAAAAATAATTACAGTTGGTAAAAGAACAAAACAAAAATAATACAATGACAATGTTAACAACAGCAACATCAATAATAATAATAATAATAATATATATAATCAATTAATCACATAATAGTTTATGTCTAATAAGAATAATTATTAAATGAAATGATTTTATCTCAAATGTTTTTTTAAATATATTTGTGGAATTTGTGGAAGGTGAAGTACATAAAAGACAATGTAAATTAATCAATATATCTATCTTATTTTCAAAATATATACATGAAATATTATAACCTTTTTATTTGATGAGTCTTGTTAAGTTGGTCTATTTGATAAAAAGGGAAATAATAAAAACCATTTTAAAATAATAATAAATTAGATAATATGTAATTTGACAATACCAAATGTGAATAGGCAGGAATTTGTATTGATTAAAATGGTGTAGAATAAATACTTGAGATGCATTAGCTGCTTCTATTCCTGACTTAGGTTCTGTACCCAAGATATTTTCAAATCATGACCTTTATGTTATTATGAGGGATCTTGCTCAACTGAAGCCCTAGTTACACAATTAATAAAGTACATTTTGATTTATTTTCAACTAAATTAATTATACTTTATGTAACTTCATTCTCTACGCCTGTAATAAATAATGAAGTCTAAAAATTTTTAAATTTATTACAGTCAACCTCGTTATAACGGATTTTTTGTTATACTGAACAAAATCTTATTTTTATTAAAAAATTTTGTTATAACGAATTTATGTGTTATGCCGATTTTTTGAATCGTGTATTCAAGTTTTTTATTTGATCTTTTTGTTTGCAATTGCTCGTTCATCATATTTTATTTTATTACTTCTGTCCATGATACACTCTAAGGGTTTCAAATTGTAATGATAATTAATAAAAAAAATTATTATTAACAGTTGATGGAAACATGGATGTTGCTTTTAACAACAATTTATTAAAATATTTTGCCAATTAAATGAATGCGATTGATTTTTAATAGAGAAGTGGAAAAGTAAAAAAAATCCGTGTTTTTTTTTTGAATGGTTAGTTTATTTTAAAAATGTCACTATTTTCATTGACCCTGAAGCTTTGACCTTATAAATAACTATAAATCAGTCCCTTATAATTAAAAGCAAAATTTTCTAACACAACCTTCCAAGTGGTTATAAAGCGACTTTGTAGGGAACAATTTGGCACAACTATTACTGCTGAATTTGCTTTAGTCTGCATACTAATTGAGCGATAATCTTAAAATAAGTGCGAAGAAAAGAAACGCTTTCGACCTGGCTTAGAATAACCAATATTTAAGCTAGTCTTTTCTTTTAATTGTTGTTAAAAAGTCTTAGTCTGGCTCTAAAATTATTATTATGGTTGAAAAATCGCTTGCTATATGAAAAACGGAGATTTTTTTTTTGAAGTGGATGACAATAATAATATTGAATAACACTTGATCTGCAATGTCCCGCGACTATGGCCTGCCTATGAATTTTTTGGGGCCTTGAGTGATATTTGACCCTAAATTTGCGCCCGATATGCTTAACGTAGATCTCATTAATTTTTTTTTGTAATCTTTAAACCAGCAAATATGAGCAAGTAAGTGATAATTGTAATTATAAAAAAATTTTTTTGGCAAAATTTTGTGTATAAATAAATGGTTAAAATTTGAGATCAATTATTAAAATAAAGTTATCTAACGTTGCTTTTTTATCATGATCAAATAATTTTTTTTTTAATCATCTGTATCTTGTGAAAGTAGACAAGAGTATGATGATATTCCTGAGGGTGAGATCGAAGTAAGGGTTTAAAAAATTTTTTAAAAAATTTTAATAATTATTTGATTAAATTGATTAAGTTTTTTAATCTAGTCAAATTGGGAAGAAATTGTTGATAATTTTGATAGTATGAATCTTAAACCTGACCTTCTTCGTGGTATTTATGCATATGGGTGGGTAGGCATTTTGATTTTGACTTTTTAATAGTTATTATAATATATTTTTATTTATTTTGATTCCTCTTTAGATTTGAAAAACCCTCAGCAATTCAACAAAGAGCCATCCTCCCTGTTATAAAAGGACATATTATTGATCATCATTTTTCATGAATAAATAAATGGACGAGTTCATTGGCGAACAATAATAATTGCTCTAAAGCTAGATCACTTAATCATGAAGTGTGAAACCACAAGACTGTACTAAGTTATTTATATTAAATGGTAATTATTTAATTTAAACGTTAAATATGACTATACGATGAATATAATATGATGATGGCAACACTAATATTTCTTTTTATCACTTAAGAATATATCTTTATTAATTCGAAGCAAAACTCTAACTTCCCTCCTGTTTATGCAGCGGTCTTTTTATAGATCAATCTAACTAAACAGTTTCGGATAGAGCAATACATTTCTATGTTCATACAGTGTGGGTTGTTAATGATCCGGTCCGCTCCAAAGACTGCCAGTCTAATCAAAGAGACCGCGGTCTAGACGGTGGATTCATTTGTTTTATTCGTTATGAATCTGATTATTCGAATTACATTGAAAGTTTATTCAAATAAACCGTATAATTCGATAAAACGAATAAAACGAGTAATTTGAATAGCTGGTAAAACGAATAAAACGAATAATTTAAATAAACCGAATGAACGAGTATATAATTTGAATAAACGGCGAATAATTCGAATAAGAATTTATATTACAATAGAAAAACTCTAATTGTCATTCATAGAAATTTTAGAATGATTGTTCTTGCTAACAGACCAGGTAAATATTCTATTTAATAATGTATTTTATATTTGGCACTTTTAATTAATATTTATTTTTTGGTGATTGTTATTATAGGTTATCCATTTCTTGGTAAGTAATTGTATTTTGAACTATAGAGTTAACTATTATTATTTACATATGTAAATAACTTAATTTTTATTAATAAAATTTCCTGTTTAGGTAATGATTTTTACCGTGAGGTTGGAGATGTTTTTAGTTGGTAATTTTACATTTTTTTTTTTTTTTTTAATATCTATTTTACAAGCTTTGATTGTTTATCATAATAATTAAACTGGGGTTATTAGTCATGCAGTAGATAATCCTGGTCCAGACTCTGAGATGTTTTTATTACGCAAATATGCACCTGACGTCCCGGAAGATTTATTATTGAAGTTAACAGCAGCATTTAGTGATTTAAGAAAATTAGTAGACGAGGGATTAATCAGTTACCCTTATTCAACCAGGGAATTGGTTAATGTTGTTAAACATATGCAGGTCCTTAAGTGTTTCACGCTTGATAATTTTTTATATTTATCATATCCTACTTATTATTAATATATTATTTTCCATAGGAGTTTCCTAAAGAAGGCATTGCACGTATTTTACAAAATATTTTTGATTTTGATCAATATGATCAAGAGTCAAAAGAGCTTTTGTTCAAGGCTTTTGAAAAGCATGGAATACCTGTTGCGCTAGAATCGGAGTTTATGATAAATTTAGGTGAAAAAATATCATTAAGTGATCCAATTGTAACGGAGGTTTGGACAAAAACCGGAAATAAAATTAAATATTGTGAAATTAAAAAAGAAGAAATTTTAATGAAAGTAAGATTAAGTAAAGTTTATATAGACTTGTTTTGGAAATTTTAATTAGAATTTTTTTAAAGTTGAAATTTTATAAAGGATGGTTGGGAAATTCCAGTTGGAACCCCTAAAGAGCTTGAAAGGACTGAAGGTAATTCAAATTTTTGATTGATGATTGAATAAATGAATGAATTATATTTAGACGATTTCATTATTATATTAATTTTTTGTTTGTCTTTATTCCTATTTATTTATTTATTGTATTTCTTAGGCAGAACCATGACCTTTACTGAACAGACATACAGTTTTAAAATACCTACACGCGGGGAAGCATTAGACATAGTAGGATTGTCTGATGGATCTTTATTTGTTGTTACGACAAATCCTATTACATTACACGCAATTAATCAAAATCATCGAAAAATTAGAAGCATGGATTTGTATGAATATTTTCCATTACAAAAAGGTAACAAGTAAAACTTAATTTTAGAAATTTTGATATTGTATTTAATCGTTGTTATAATTTTGTAGCACCACCAGGGTTAAAGATGACAATAGTACAAACACAAGAAAATGGCTGGTATTTGTTATTGCATGATCCAATAGCAAATTCACTGCTTTGCATTGACTTTGCAAGAAGTCCAAAAATGTCTGTCTTGGTTTTTTTAAATAAAATCCCTGTAATTATTATTTGATAATATAAAGATGAGATAATTGTATAATTGCTTTTATATACTAATTTCTTGTTTTTAAAAACAATTTATAGTTGACAGGGTTAAATCCAACAAAATCTGTAATGCTAAAAGATTTTGAATCTACTGGTATTTTAGGTAATTATATTACTATATTTTGTTTAATTTAATATATTTGATGTTTTACTAAATATATATACGCATTTAAAGTTTTCTACCAGAGCGAAAGATCAACTATTCTAATGTTAGATTTTAATATAAATACAATGTATACAATTGAAGTGCCTGTTAAAAGTAGGTTTTCAAGCCTCTTAACATATATTTTTTTCAATTAATGATTAATTACAATAATTTTCTAATTATAATTAAAATGTAGTTTCAAAATTATTTTTGCTTAAACCAAATGCATGGTTACTCAGAGATAGTGTTAGCGGGCATTATCATATCGTTTACGCAAATAACCTTGATGGGCAGAATTTGTAAATATTCTACATTTAAAAAGAGGGTTTTTAATTTAAAATAACTAATTATCCGAATATATTTATTAGGGTTCCAAACATCATACTGCAAATTGATATAAAGAGTTTGCTGAAGCCTATCCCAGATGAAATTACTTTCATATCCCAAGATGTATTTCAACAAGCAAGTTTGTAAGTATTGTATTGATTTTTTTCTTAGATGTATGGTAATGAAAATTGCAATTTCTAATTATTTGATTATTAAAATATAAATTAGCATGTCTACAAGATTTTTACAAAGTAATGATGATTCTATAGCTGCTTCTATTATTTTAAATTCGCCCGAGACTTTGGTTGACGATATTAAAACTGAAATCATTTCATATATGAGAAAGCCTGGAGATGATTGCAAAAATTGTTTCAATGATCTTAAAAATTCCTCTATATCGCTTAAGAAGACAGGACAATTGGCAACTGTTATTCCATTAAAGGTATTAATGATAATTATATTTATTAATGAATTTTCAAAATATTTTATCGAAATTAAAATTTTTTTAAAAAAGGACGGGAGAAGTGTAGGAAATTTAGAGATATTTAATCCTGTTGAAAATGCGTTATGGCGCATTACAATTCCTTTATCAATCCAAGTGCCTAGTTTCAGCATAAGGTATACATCAAACAAATTATTTATTTAAATATTAAATTACGTTACAATAACACTGATGTACAAATAAATAAATATTATTATATTAGTGATTCAAGACCTATCGAAAATCCCTATTTATATTTTGATAGAATAGCAGCAACACTGTTAGAATTACCTAATGGAGATTTATTAACAATGGATATTAGTGGTAAGTATACGAGTTTATATGATTGATGAGGCTTAATGTTATTTACGTATTTAAAAAAACCTTCCCTAATTTAGGCGTTGTGCGTATATGGCAAGTGGACGCTGGTCAATTAATTTTGGCTGCCAATACTTGGAGAAAACTCGTTGGAAATCTAGATCAGCAAAAGTTGTCGATTATATACGAAACTGATGAGGTTATTAGGATTTGATTAATGTGACATTATTTTATGTAATGTTTTTTAAAAAAAAATTAATAATAAAAAAATAGGAAAAATTTTCAAGGGAAAGATTCGGGAATGAGGTTCAACAAATATTTCAAGACAGGATCGGTGAAAATATTGGAAGTGGCGAAGGTGGAGGTGAAGGTGAAGGCGGCGGCGAAGGATCTGGTAGTGGTAATGGCGGAGATGGTGGCGATTCATTGAATTTAATGGGTAGAGAACCTACCTTTATAGATGTTAGTAAACTGAGTTTGGTAAGTGGATTTTTATTATAATTGGTATTTATACGTTTAGATTATTAAATGAATTGTCATGAATAGAGAACTGAAATCCCACCACCTATCAAACTTACAGCAGCACAAAGGTTTTTGATTTCTAAAAACAAATAATTGCTCAATTTAACAATCATACAATCAATCATCTAATAATCTTTTTTTTTTTAAAAAATACAGAGATTTGCATGAGTTGACTATGCGTAAAAAACGAGAACAAATAAATATGACACAAGAAAATATGAATTTATTTCAATCATATTTAGTGAATGTGCAAAAGGAGATTCATGAATTGCGTGTGATTTTGGAAAGTATAGAGGCTAAAAAAAAAGAACGTGTTTGGCTTAAGAATCAAAGTTCTGGAGATATTGATGATACTAAACTGTAAGGATTTTTGATAAAATCTATGCAATATTTTTTTTTGTCTAAATATGCAAGTTTATTGATATACGATCATATAACCGCATATACATAGGATTGAAGGATTGACTGGAGAAAGTAATATTTATAAGAGACGTGGTGATAATGATCCTGATTTAGGTTTTTTTCAGGATAAACCTAAAAAAATGGTTTTTGCTTTTGATCTTAGTGCAAGGTATAAATTTTAACAAAAAAATTAAGAATAAAATTAGAATTTAAAACATTACTTTATTTTTTATAATTAGTATGTTTAGGTTTAATTCTCACGATAGAAGATTAGATAGATCTATGGAAGTGGCACTTAGTAAGTGATAATTGTTAATTAAAAATGTTAAATTTGAATTGTAATTACTTATTTTGATTTTACTTTAAAAATAGTGATAATGGAATCGTTTAAATCATTTGAGAATAAATTTCAGTACCGTATTGTTGGGCATAGTGGAGATTCACCGAATGTAGAATTTGTTAAAGAAGGAAAATATCCACGAAATGAAAAGGAAGAGTTCAAAATATTAAGCCAAATGTATTTACACTCGCAATTTTGCCTCAGCGGCGGTAAGATCTCATGTTAAAATTTTTTAGTTTTTAATAATAGGCATGATTATTCTTAAAATTTATTCTTTGAATAATAAAGACAATACTCTAAATGCAACGGCTAATGCTATAAAAGAAATAACAAAAGAAGAGGCTGATGACTATTTCGTTGTAATACTTTCTGATGCAAACATCGCACAATATAACATTAATCCAACGGATATTTCAAAAAGTATGTAATTAATTTATTATTATACGTAGATGCACGTATATTTACGTATATATTAACGTCATTGATTCAATTAGCACTAAAATCAGATGATAGAGTGAATGCATTTATAATATTCATTGGATCTATACAAAATCAAGCCGAAAGGTATTTATTTATAATTTTCAATTTATTAATAAGATTATTAAGTCAATTAACCATTTTTCTACTTTTGATTTATACTAAAATAATAATGAAAGACTTCGTGATAGTCTTACCGGGCATGCACATGTTTGTATGGATAATAAGGATTTACCGAAAATTATGAAATCAATTTTTTTAGCTTCAATGTTAAAAGGCTAAATTTTGTGGAATCAAAATTAGTTTATATATTTATTTGGACATTTGGACAATGTAATTAGAAAATTTGGAGTTACATTATAGTAATTGAATAAAACCTTTAGATAATTTATTTATAGTAAATATTTAAAATCTAACAATACTAGGTTAATTAATAAATAGATAAAGTTATATTGTCTTTAACGATTAGCTTGGAAACACGCTCTAAAAATCATCGATTAGTTAATATTAAATTCTTTTTTAAAGAATAGATCGAGATCTTTCAACTGATAAAACCCTCCCTGTTCAAGTTTTTAATTTACATTGGTCCGCGTGAAGATTCAACTAGTATCGGTAGTGCCGGGTACAGTTAGATGTTTCACCTCTTTGTAGAGTAAATTAATCTATTGCATTATTAACAATTGAAGTTGTAATTATTTTTCCCAAAAAATTTCTATTGATTATTATTTTGAATATATTATAGTTATAATAGACATGCGATGTTAAAATTATTGCTAGAGTAATTTCAAACGCGTGTTTTTACAATTCTAAATTTTCCGCTGTTACGACACGCACGTATAATGCAAGGCACTTAGTCCCTACAACTTCCTGCGTCACGGTGTCAGTTTCAATTAGTATATACCTTGTCAAAACTCTGACGATTGGCAAAAACCCTCAAATGCGAAACTCTGCCGAAACTCTAATAAACAATTAATGTGTAACCTGTCGAAACTCTATCGATTGATTTCTGGGGGAGTTTTGCCCATAACCTTAGTCTTTATTGAGGGGTTGTTGTGATCTTTAAAAAATTGAAATTGTAATTGAATTGATTGTAAATGTTAAAACTGAATAAGTTATATTGAAAAATAATATGTGAATAATAAAAATTGCTAATATCTTGAATGTGTATAAATAAACACTGTACATTATCTCACACCACTACATTGTGGAATAATGATGTGGGTTGAAGAATCCCTTTCAAATCTAAACCATACATGTTGGCCAAAATTAATTTAGTAAATGATCATTGCCAAATTCAAAATGCCAAAAATTCTGGGTATATAGTTTTTTATTTGGCAAATGCAAAACCAATTTTGGCTATCTAAACTAAGATCATGGGTCATAAAATAATGAAAAAACTAAAACTAATACTAATACTAACACATGAGAATTTCCAAACCTTGTCATAACATTACTAAATTTTGATCCCTGTAATTCTTAGTAACAAATGTTCATTTTGGTTTTGTTGCAGTATGCCCCAAATGGCAACATTCCAAAAAATCGAACAACAAGTACGAAGAAGCGAAGCAGAGGTTGGAAGGTGGGAGAAGGGAGATAAACAGAAGAAGATAGATGAGTTGTTGGGAGGAGATGCAGAAAAACGTGAAGGGAAGTTTGATTATTTGATTAACGAGAAGAAGAAGTTGGAGAAGGGCAAGGAAGATTGGAAAGGACAAGTGGTGAAGTTACAGGATGCATTGACTGAATTTAGTAAAGGAAAAGGCAATGAACAAATTACATAAAAAAATATAAAAAATTATTTTCCATTCATTCCATTTCGTTTTATTTAATTATGAACTTTTATATATTGTGTTATTGTTCATGACTTTAATTTTTATTATTATTTTATAGCTTTTTTACTTGTTATTTGGTATACTGTTTGCAACCTTGATTAACTTGGGTTTTTTCTTGCAGATAATCAATCAGCCTTCAGTGCCCACTGATGATGTAATGAACCAAAAAAAAAATTCATGAAAGCATTACCTTAAAGAAGATTGAAACTATTTCTTTATCTTCATTCAATACCAATTAATTGGCAAAAGTCATGAAACACAACGTAAAAGTTACATGTCTTATATCCAAAAGCATCTGAATCCATTACCAAAAATCACAATACTTGAACTTGATGTCACAACCAATAAGATTTTACTTAGATTGTATAATGACTCATGTCTACTATTCAACTTATCTATGGCACTGATGTTGTTCTGGGCCAAACTGCTGCCCAACCAAGGAATAAAATATAAGAAAAGAAGTCAGGAACAAGATAGTGTTACCACCCTAGCTAGTCAAAAACGAAAAGCAGAAGACTATCTAGAAGAATTTAGAATATGGCGATATGAAACAGTGAAACTGCCTGAAATACAAGGAAGTGTTGAGGAAAGGTTAAACGACCTAGTAGACAAATTGATAAATCGAAAGTATAATGTTGCTTTCGAATACTACTATGTCCTTGGGAAACTTTTATTAGAAAGTCCTTCAACCTACAAAGCCAGGATAGTTCAACGTTTAGATCAATTTAAAGGAATTAGGATGGCCAACATAGTGAGAAGAACTCATACGCTATTTAGAGTGGTGGGACTATCTTACTTAACAATAAAGAAATCAACCCCTACGACCTTGGGAAAATTTACAGATAAAGATTTTGAAGAGTTCATTTCAAGATTAAGGATGATCATGATGGAAAATCTAGAACAACAACTACTTCTAGACAGTGCCATAGAAGAAACTGTTCCTATTTCGACGGAGCTCAATGTTGGTGAGGGAGAGATGTTACCGGAATTAGATTTGGACGCTCTTTTGGCTGAAATTAACTAATTCCGAAATTCTTAATTTTTATTATTCTATTATTTTGAATGGATATTTTCCTAATTAATTGAATTGTATATAAGGAGCTTGAATTCGATGTACTTGAAAAATAACTTTGTGATAAGTTAATTAGTTTCGACTAAATAAACTAAATAAACAAAATAGTAATTATTTTATTTAACACCTTTATCTTCTTTAAACAAAATTATCCGCCAATACTAAAATTAATTCGTTGATAACACCTATTCATTCTGATCCACACAAATACAAAAATAATTGTTATCACCCATTAAAACACGCTCTCCCAAATTTAATCGGTGACAGTAATATTAATATACAGAAATTATCAATAATCATTTTATAAACGCTGTTGATTATTTTTTTTTAATTAGTAATAAATGTATTTATGTTTCAAATTAATAATCTCTCACTCAATTTCATTTATCCCCCCCCCCAGTTTTTTCACAGAAATTTAGCAATATCAATATTGTTTAAGTTCTGGGTTCTTTTTCATTTTAAATATTTTTATTAGAAGAAAAATTTGACAAAGAAAACAAAGAAAATTATTTTTTAGGAAAAGAAATATTTAGGAATTAGGAAAAATGACCTCTCGGACAAATCCTTGATATACAAAGAAAGTATTCCCGAGCCCTATATCTATTCCAAACAAGTTTCAATTGTAATCCTTGTATAATAGATTAACATTAAGAAAACTCAAAATAAAAAAATCGGCTGAGAGATTGATTTTCCTAGTCCAAATCCCATTTTATGATTTAATTTTCGCAAATGAATTAACATTTTACTTCATAATTTTGGTTGCCATTAAATTGGCCAGAATTATAAGAGGAACAATTTCAAAATTTTTATAACACAACATCATCAATTAACTTGACATGACTCTTGTTGCACTGAATTTATTAAAAAATTCCACATAACTTGATAGCTTTTACTAGAATAATCAATTTACACTGTTTTTTTTTTAAAAAAAAGTTACATGAAAATTTAACTCGTGTCAATTTAAAGACCAGTTATTTTGGATGTATTACTGTAACACACACTGTAGAGAATTAAAATGAAATGCAAACCATTTAAAAATCTTTATTATTATTGAATTGAGCAAGAGTTCCTATTTGTAATACAAATTCTTATTTGAATTATTTGTTTTTTTTTATTCATTTATTCATTTATTCATTTATTCATTTATTCATTTATTCAAATCACCCGAAACATTTGTTTGTCCCTGTAAAAAAAACTGATCTGTGATTAAATAGATCATATTCATGAAAAAATCATGGAAAGATTACAGGGGAAAGATGGACTTTGCCACTGTTGCAAATTCATGGAAAATTTTCAGGCAAATAACAGTTTGAATTGTTCATTTATTTTGTTTATTTGTTTATTTGAACTATTTGTTTTATTTGTTATTTGAATCATTTGAATCATTTGTTTTATTTGCTTTGCTCTCTAAGCTGAGCAGAGCCAAGTTCAAGAAAATAGATACTTAAATTGTTTTTTAGGTAATATGGGTAAATAAAATAATAAGTTAACATTCATTACTTGAAAAAATTTTATGTAACATCAAACTCTAGCCTGGCTCAAACTTGAAATTTGAGCTTTAGCTCAAGCCAGCTTGGCTTGTTTGGCAAGACAAATGATGAACTGATCACCAATTTAAAAGCCATTTGCTCCATAAATCCCAAAGTATCCTTGGTGAAAGGTGGTTGTCTGCACTGAGAAATATAATAGTAAACTGTGGATGTTATGGAGTCATCAAACATAACTTGTGCAGCCAAAAGACTTTTAAATGTACATCTTGCAAAACTATCATTGACAGAAATGTAAATGGAGCCTGTAATATACCTTTAAAGTAACCCAACGAGAGTTGCTAATGTTGTTGGTGCTTACATCTGACACGCCTTATTGCAGGTTGTCTACATAGTGCTTGTACTGAGATATAAGCAGGTTCAAGAAGTTAATTTTTTTTGGATTAATTTTGTGTAATACAAATTTACTAAGTGATACATGAAGCATTTTTTAAAATTTATAATAAAAAAAATTTTTTCGATTAGAAAAGCACATGAATTCCGAAGAAACTATTTTTATTAAATCAGAAAAAGAAACCTACAAAGAGATAAAAGTAGAAAGTATAGAGCTAAAATTTGACAATAATGTTACAATATTACGAGATGTAAAAGGCATCTCTTCAAATAGCAATAATAATAATAAATGTTCAAGTAATAAAAGATCTGTTAATAATGTTGATAAAGATCCCGAAACACTTGCTGCAGAGTTAGCCATTAAAAGAGCAAGAAATACAGATGCTGCTCGTCGTAGTAGACATCGTAAAGTTATGAAAATGGAATCACTTGAAAGCCAAGTTTCAGAATTATCATCAAAAAACCATACATTAAAAACTCATTTAGCTGTATTGGAAATTGAAATAAAAGGTTTAAATGAGAAAAATGAAGAAAATGATTCAAGAATTAAAAAATTAGAAATTCAATTGGCTGAAACTTATGAAAAAATAATTACAGTTGGTAAAAGAACAAAACAAAAATAATACAATGACAATGTTAACAACAGCAACATCAATAATAATAATAATAATAATATATATAATCAATTAATCACATAATAGTTTATGTCTAATAAGAATAATTATTAAATGAAATGATTTTATCTCAAATGTTTTTTTAAATATATTTGTGGAATTTGTGGAAGGTGAAGTACATAAAAGACAATGTAAATTAATCAATATATCTATCTTATTTTCAAAATATATACATGAAATATTATAACCTTTTTATTTGATGAGTCTTGTTAAGTTGGTCTATTTGATAAAAAGGGAAATAATAAAAACCATTTTAAAATAATAATAAATTAGATAATATGTAATTTGACAATACCAAATGTGAATAGGCAGGAATTTGTATTGATTAAAATGGTGTAGAATAAATACTTGAGATGCATTAGCTGCTTCTATTCCTGACTTAGGTTCTGTACCCAAGATATTTTCAAATCATGACCTTTATGTTATTATGAGGGATCTTGCTCAACTGAAGCCCTAGTTACACAATTAATAAAGTACATTTTGATTTATTTTCAACTAAATTAATTATACTTTATGTAACTTCATTCTCTACGCCTGTAATAAATAATGAAGTCTAAAAATTTTTAAATTTATTACAGTCAACCTCGTTATAACGGATTTTTTGTTATACTGAACAAAATCTTATTTTTATTAAAAAATTTTGTTATAACGAATTTATGTGTTATGCCGATTTTTTGAATCGTGTATTCAAGTTTTTTATTTGATCTTTTTGTTTGCAATTGCTCGTTCATCATATTTTATTTTATTACTTCTGTCCATGATACACTCTAAGGGTTTCAAATTGTAATGATAATTAATAAAAAAAATTATTATTAACAGTTGATGGAAACATGGATGTTGCTTTTAACAACAATTTATTAAAATATTTTGCCAATTAAATGAATGCGATTGATTTTTAATAGAGAAGTGGAAAAGTAAAAAAAATCCGTGTTTTTTTTTTGAATGGTTAGTTTATTTTAAAAATGTCACTATTTTCATTGACCCTGAAGCTTTGACCTTATAAATAACTATAAATCAGTCCCTTATAATTAAAAGCAAAATTTTCTAACACAACCTTCCAAGTGGTTATAAAGCGACTTTGTAGGGAACAATTTGGCACAACTATTACTGCTGAATTTGCTTTAGTCTGCATACTAATTGAGCGATAATCTTAAAATAAGTGCGAAGAAAAGAAACGCTTTCGACCTGGCTTAGAATAACCAATATTTAAGCTAGTCTTTTCTTTTAATTGTTGTTAAAAAGTCTTAGTCTGGCTCTAAAATTATTATTATGGTTGAAAAATCGCTTGCTATATGAAAAACGGAGATTTTTTTTTTGAAGTGGATGACAATAATAATATTGAATAACACTTGATCTGCAATGTCCCGCGACTATGGCCTGCCTATGAATTTTTTGGGGCCTTGAGTGATATTTGACCCTAAATTTGCGCCCGATATGCTTAACGTAGATCTCATTAATTTTTTTTTGTAATCTTTAAACCAGCAAATATGAGCAAGTAAGTGATAATTGTAATTATAAAAAAATTTTTTTGGCAAAATTTTGTGTATAAATAAATGGTTAAAATTTGAGATCAATTATTAAAATAAAGTTATCTAACGTTGCTTTTTTATCATGATCAAATAATTTTTTTTTTAATCATCTGTATCTTGTGAAAGTAGACAAGAGTATGATGATATTCCTGAGGGTGAGATCGAAGTAAGGGTTTAAAAAATTTTTTAAAAAATTTTAATAATTATTTGATTAAATTGATTAAGTTTTTTAATCTAGTCAAATTGGGAAGAAATTGTTGATAATTTTGATAGTATGAATCTTAAACCTGACCTTCTTCGTGGTATTTATGCATATGGGTGGGTAGGCATTTTGATTTTGACTTTTTAATAGTTATTATAATATATTTTTATTTATTTTGATTCCTCTTTAGATTTGAAAAACCCTCAGCAATTCAACAAAGAGCCATCCTCCCTGTTATAAAAGGACATGATGTATTAGCTCAGGCACAATCAGGAACAGGAAAAACAGCGACATTTTCTATTTCAATACTTCAAAAACTTGATACGGCTATTAGTCATTGTCAAGCACTTATTCTTGCACCAACTCGTGAATTAGCACAACAAATTCAAAAGGTAGTGATCGCACTTGGAGATTTTATGAATGTCGAATGCAATGCAACAATTGGAGGCACAAATGTCCGTGAAGATATTAAAAAACTTGAAGCAGGTGTTCATGTAGTTGTAGGCACACCAGGCCGTGTATTTGATATGATTAATCGTAAAGCTTTAAAAACTGATCATATAAAAATGTTTGTGCTTGATGAGGCAGATGAGATGTTATCACGTGGCTTTAAAGAACAAATCTATGATGTTTTTCAATTACTTCCACCTAGTACCCAAGTTGTACTTTTATCAGCTACAATGCCATCTGATGTTCTTGAAGTGACCACTAAATTTATGCGTGATCCTGTAAGAATTTTAGTTAAACGTGATGAATTGACATTAGAAGGTATTAAGGTAATAGTATAATTTATACAATTTATATGTTTATTTATATTTAATTATAATTCTAATAATGAATTCAATTATTGATTGATTGATTGATTGATCGATTGATTGATTGATTGATTGATTGATTAGCAATTTTATATTGCAGTTGAAAAAGAAGAATGGAAACTTGATACTTTATGTGATTTATATGAAACAGTTACAATAACTCAAGCAATCATTTTTTGTAATACCAGAAGAAAGGTTGATTGGTTAACAGATAAATTACATTCCAGAGAATTTACAGTATCAGCCATGCATGGGGATATGGAGCAAGCTCAACGTGATGTTATTATGAAGGAGTTTCGTTCAGGATCTTCCCGTGTACTTATTGCCACTGATATTTTAGCCCGTGGTATTGATGTTCAACAAGTATCATTGGTGAATAAATTTTGATTATTATTATCTCTCCTATTCATTCATCATTTGAAGATTAAACATATGGAATATTTATTATTTATATATTATACATTGTAGGTTATCAATTATGACCTCCCTACCAATCGTGAGAACTATATTCATCGTATTGGCAGAGGAGGACGTTTTGGTAGAAAAGGAGTTGCTATTAATTTTGTTACTAGTGAGGATGTTCGAATGCTTAGAGATATAGGTAATCTATATTATTATTATATTATAATTTAAATGACTTTGGTATTATTATTGACGATCTATATCTTTAATTAGAACAATTTTATAATACACAAATCGACGAAATGCCAATGAATGTGGCAGATTTGATCTAAAAAAAAAGATTCCGAATAAATTTTTTTTGTGATGATACTAAAAAATTTTTTTGACTAATATTTATTTATTTATTACATTATATCAATTTTTATCATTAAAAAGACATTTTTATTTTGTATATTAAAAATTTAATTTTTATAAAAAAATAAAAATTCAGCCTAAAAATCAATCTTTTGTTTGTTTTATGATGAGAAAATTCTATGATAATATTCATATGTGCATAATGTTTCTTCTTATTTACGTTGATGTCTACCAACAATTGATCAAAAAAAATCAATCAAGATTTGTTAAAGATAATACATAATACCTCTGTGTTTTACCTTTTTAGCTTGGGGAAGGGTCAGAAAATACGTGTTTAAAATAAGGGAGGGGTTCTCAAGGTCATGTCACAAGGGGAGCTCTTAATCACATATTTTCTGGTCCTTTGAATAACGTACTCGAAAAATTATTATTATTTTTAGTTAATATGTTACACAGAATTTTTAAATTTTATCTTGAATAGCCAGTCATTATCTAAAGTTTTTCAATCTAAAAAAAAGGCAAGCATGGCAGTGTAAATTTTTTTTAAAATTATTAAAGCAAAGAAAATTAAAATCTTCTCGCGTAGCATCAATAGATTTACATGTAACAGGAAAATACTTTCGTTTCGCGAAACAATGGCAGGTTTCATTTTATACTGTTTAAAATATTTACCAATTACAATTTCTGAAAAATTTATTATTACAACATATATAAAAAAAAAAGAATTGAAATAAATTAATCAAGACCCCTCACAAATAAAACCCTCTTCACTTTCAAACCCTTCCCCTTTATCCAAATTCGTGTCCTCAGTCAAGTCAGCGCGTTCTTCCCTTTACTGCTTGTGGCGACTGCATTTATTGCATTTTGAAACATTGTTGTTCTTCTTGTTGACAGGTCTGGAGGGCTTTCTTCATTGAGAACTGCTTGGCCTACAGGTCTTTTGTTGGGTGATTCTTGGTGATGATTCGCAGGTCTTTTTTTATTACTAAAATATTTTTATTCAAAGTCCAGATACTTTGACTTTGTGCCTTCCAAAAAGAAGGTACACTTTGGTTTTCTTTATTGTTGGCGTTTTCTGAAACGGGGAAAAGCCATTCAATCTCTTTGTCAACGATCTGCACCATTCTTTTACCAACAAAAAGTTCTCCTGCTACAGGGGGAATAGCTTTCCCATTAGTGGCAGTTGTGACAGGGCTGTAACGTCCATTGTTTGGGTTATAAAACATGGGACATCCATTGTTGTGTATGAGTTTGCAAATGGATTGTATATTTTTCGAGACAAAGTGAAAAGGCTTGCACCATCTTGAACTCTAGATGGTGCTGTGCATGGAGTGATGAAGGTGCCAATTAAAGAATTGACGGGTAAATCATAGATGCTAGGATTATCAGCAATCGTTTTCAGATCAGGTAACCTGAATCAAAAACAATACACATTATTATTCATTACTGAATGAAGAATCCATTGCATATTAATATAACAAAAACTCACATATAGCTGTGAATCATGAAGCATATATTTTCCAACAAACATCATAAAAGAATTCTTCTGTATATCTTAGATCACGATGTCTTTGTTGGAATTAAAGGCTCTGAAGGTAAAGTCCAAAAAATATCATTTTCAAGTCTTGAAGTTGCCACACCATTCAAAACGTTAGGTCCGCTCGCAGACTTTACAAATGCGATTGTAGCTAAGATGGAAGACATAATTTTTGATGAGTTTTATTTTATTTTTTTTAGATGTGATTTAAATTGTTTTGTGCGTGTCAAATATTTTCTTTGCATCTAGTAGCTCATTCATTTAACCTTATTATACAAAATTTTTTCATCCAAGAACAAACATTGATTTTTCTTCATTAGTCAAATCGTAAAAATCAGTAATTCAATGAATGGCAGCACAAGAAACATATACATATCCACGTAGCATAAAAAAAAGAAAGATGTACGATGTAAAAATAAACACGTAGTTGCATAGGTACATGTTCATCAATGATTTCGTTGATTGATCAGATAATGGTTCACAGCCATGATCTCATGCACCTGAATCAAGAATCAACGGATAAAATGTAGATCTCAAATTGAGGTGCATTTGTTGGTTGCCAACTTAAAATTGTTGAACTTTTCATTAAAAACCAATGCAAAAACATGTTTGTTTTCTTGCCATAAAGAAATGCTCAGAAAGTCCAAAATTATGTTTTATTGTTTAAAAGTTAGTTAAGTAATTTCCGGCCAATTAAAAAAATTGTAATTTTGGTTTTTTTGATGGTGTACCAGTACACAAAAACAGATGATAATAATTAGATACATGTGAAATTCTGACATTCTAATGTGTTAATTATTAAAATTTTTAAAAATTAATTTGTGCTATGGGAAAAAAGTACAGGTTTTCACAGATCACAAACTTATTAAAAATCACCTATATATATAAATGAACTATGCTCCCTCCTCCTCTCCTCTCTTCTCTTCTCTGCAAGTCTAAGAAATTAAACCTTTGCCGTACGACTCTAATATGCCAGAATAAGAAAAAACTGCAAATCTGATTAAAAATTACGAGTTTTGGCAAGCAATAGTGACACGACGAGCATCGATCTTTTATTTGTGTTAAAAACAACAGTTATAACCACGCTCTCAATCCATAGGTTATAAATAAACGTTACTATAAAAAATAGATACGGAATTTCCCATTATTTTTATCTTGATTATTTTTTGATTGATTATTTTTTGATTGATTTTTTAAAATAAGAGACCAATAATAAATAATGATGACATATCAGATAAAATAATAAAATAAATATCCCTCAATTTTATTAATTGGTAAATTTTTTTATTAAAGCCCAAAAATACTCTATCATTATTATTATTCTTAAAATAATATATTAAATCTATTTTTTATTATTTATAGAAAAATGCTTCCTATTGACCCTGATAATATATTTTCACGTCATAATGACAAAAAACAAAATTATAATCATCGATTTGACAAAACATCACAAGATTCTTCTGACACAGATAGTGATAATTCAATTATTACAACACTTACTCCAACAACTACTAAAAACCATCAAAAGATAATAATTGAAGAAATTGGGAAGAAAAAGAAATTTCCTAGATTTGCTGAAATAGTTAAAACTGGCAGTTTTGAACCCGAACGTCATTTTTATCCCCGTGTTTTAAATGCTACAATTCATCCTTTGGTTGCAAGCTTCTTTCAATTGGGTAATGAACGTATAATAGCAAGATATACTCATTTAAATCCTAGAGTGTCATTAAACACTCTTACTGATTTATTATCAAGATATAAACCTAAACATTTTCGTTGGGCAGGTTAGTTTCTTTTTTTATAAAGAACTTCTTTATTATCATTAATTGACGTTGATAAAAACAATATTTTTAAAATTAATACATCAAAAGATTTTGATTTATTCTTTGTAATTAGTTACTTTATTTTAAATTTTTTATTGACCACTGTTGATAATATTTTCTCTCCATGTTAATAAGCATCATCAACGTTCACTGTTTATACATGAACTATATTTTCAATTGGTTTTCAAAATAATAATTATTCATATATTACTATTATTAATATAATAAATAGGATCAGACCTATTCAATGTTACGACAGTCAATGGTCAACGTCAAATGATTATTGTTGAGACCAATTCATGCCCATCAGGACAAAAGTCAATGCCATTATTGTCTGATACTGATGAATATGGTGGATATCAAGTAGTCATAGAATCTGCATTTAAAGAGGCTATAGAAAAGGCAGATCCTTCCTTAGGAGACTTAGCAGTCATATGTGATAAAAATTTAATGGAAACATCAGGTTATGCTACTGCATTGGCTGAAGTCATGCAGGAAAAGGTTTGGTTTGTACAATACTATGACGATGATGACGATCCTCCAGTTAAATGGATTGATCGAGTTATGTATATAAGAGATATTAACAACGGTTTGTATTTAAATAATTTAATTAATATATGATATTTATATTATTAATATATACATATTTATTTATTTACTTTATAGAATGGCATTCAATCAGAGCATGTTTCCGTTATGTTACTCAAAGACCATGGAATCGCATCCCTCTTAGTACTCGTACAATAGTAATGAATGAAATAGTCTCTTGTCTTGCTGGTGGTCGTAACAAAATGATGGCTGACAGAGCCTATGAATTCTTCAATGCTGAATTAGTGGATACTGGTTTGGCTATCAGAGTACCTGAAACAATCAACAATGTTACCAGAAGTGAAATTCCATTATGGATTCATAGTATGGGTGGTCATGCTGTATTAAAAGTGCCATATAGTAATGCTGGTAACTATTAATAAATAAATATTATTATTACTTATAATTTAATAAATTTAATAATAATAATATTACTATTATTAGGTCAAGGTGTCTACACAATAACAAATCCACAAGAACTTCAAGAATTTCTAGACAAAGATCATCATTATGACAAATTTATTGTACAATCATTGGTTGGTAATGCATCATGGTCATCTGTCACAAGGTCTGGAAAGTTTTATCATGTAGGAACAATTCCAAACAAACGTAATCATACTTATGTAAGTGATCTTCGTATGATGATAACAGCTGGTAAAAATGGCTTTCAACCTGTAAGCATTTATGCAAGAAGAGCAAGAAAACCTCTTTTGAGTCATCTAGAAGATGATCCATCAAGTATTTATCCTTCATTAATATATTTTTTGATTTTATTTATATTTTTTATTAATAATCAATGTATTTTAAAACAGTAACTTCTTGGGAAATGTTAGGCACAAATTTATCTGTAAAAAAAGCTGATGGTGAATGGTCATCAGAATCAGAACGGTTATTGTTGATGGACCGTAAAGATTTTAATCAATTAGGCATAGGAGTTGATGATTTGATAGATGCTTATGTACAGACTTGTTTAGCAGTTATTGCAATTGATAAAATGTGTCAAAAGTTGATGCCAGAAGAAGGAAAATTTGATTTTAATTTATTCAGAGCTTTAAATCCTGATGAAACTTTGTTATCAGAAATATTAGAGTAAACACTTTATAGGAGCAAAGTAAGGATAAATTTTCTAATACACAAATATAAATAATCGTATTTATATATACTTATATATATATATTCAATTATTTCTTTTACAACTGCCTGTTTATTATTTTGGGATTGTACGTTAGCTTTAATAATTATTTTTTTTTTAATATCATGTTTCAATAACAATAGAAATGATGGAATTTCTTATTTACATAATAATATTCAATAAACTTTGTAATCGCACAGTTTTTAATTTGCTATCCATCAGTTGTCAATATCCATAAACTTTTATTAGGAACAAGACAAACTAAATAGTAACCTTCATTCCATTAAAGAATATTTTTTTCTATTAAATTATCAGTAATACCATGTGCAGATTATTATTTAAACTTTTGCCATCCAACAGTCACCAATACCCATAAAGTTTTATCAGAAGCAAAGTCTTTAGTATAACAGTTTCTTATTAACTGAGAGATCAAATTTTTAATATTACAATTTTATGAGAAATCGCAAAGCAATGTTTACTTTCTATAACTTAAACCAATTAATTTAAATATTCATGTTTACTTGAGACAAATACATATATATATAGTAACTTTTTACTATCTGTTTATATTAAAGAATTTTTAGGTAGATGCATCTTTATCGGTTGGAAAAATTTTATTTGTGTATTATTATTAATAATAAATGATTGATAATAAAGTACGAGTTTTTATATATGGGGCATGCTGCAACAAAACCAGACAAAGTGAACATTGGTATTACCAAAGATTCAGGGATCAAAATTTAGTCATAATGTGATTATATAATTAACAGTTTTATAATTAAGTGATATATAGAACTATCCCTATATAAAAATAGTTAATATGAAACTCATTTACATCAGATCTACTATGGAACCCAAGAATTATAGTACTATCAGAAGTATTTTGAAGAAAGAGCAAGGTGAAAAAATTGCACCTTATATTTTCAAAATAAATGATACTCAAACACTGGAAGCTTATCTAAGAAAAGAAAGGATTACTTATGAAATTTACCAAGAAGAAAGAAAATTAATAAACATTAGAAAAAGAAAGCATCATGATGATGCATTATTACCTAATAAAAAGCAAAAGTCTCTAAAAAGAAAATAACTACCATTTTCTTTGATAATTTCAATTTATACAGAACTACTTTTTTATTTTCAATCAAGATCATCTTTTAGTCTCTTTGACTTCAATTTGAGCAGTTAATTGACCATTTTGTTGATCTTTTAATTTCCTGTTTTCTTCTTCTAGATGATTAATTTTCTCTTCTAAACTTTTTATCTTATCTAATAACTCCTGTTTTTGCTTTTTACTTCACTCTTCTGATTTTTCCTGAAATTTGGCTACTTCTTCTCTTTCAATTTTTAATTCTTCTTTGGTAATTGATAACTCTTTTTCTAGTTCTCTAGTTTTATTTTCTAGGCGAAAACTGAAAGTTTGTGAAAGTAGTTCTTTGTCAGAAAGTGGTTTAGTTGATTTAGCTTTTAAATGACTACAAAAACATCTGTTTCTATTCCTTTTTAACCTACCACATTTCTCACATCATGGAAGAGTATTATTATCATAATCTTTTTTACATTCACCACAGATAAAGACAATGTCAGAATAACCATCAGGAGTATTACGAGCCACCATTTGATGAGTAGCAGGAGCAGTATCAAAATTAAGGAGAGTTGGGTCATCAAAATCTAGAAAACAAAAATTACACTCTTGTTCATCTCCCTGGGTTATTTCCAGAATTCTATATTCTAATCTCATATTTGCTTACTTATTCTTTTGAACAATAAAAGTCTGGAACTTCTCTTTAGTCTTTTCTTTTACTTTATTTACTAATTTTTTGAGTTTGCATAATCTGTTTTCTTTTTGTTGTTTTGGTAAAGCTGGTAATTCTTTGGTTGTTAAATAATCTTTTCAGTTTGTTTCCTGATTTTTAGCAGCTAAATTATTTTCTAATAAATCTATTCGGTCTTGAAGTTTGCCCATTGCAGCATCATGTTTCAACACAGTTTCAAACATTTGTCATTTTCTCCATTCCATGGCTTTATTTAGTGCTTTTTCAGCCTCTTCTCGCTCCATTCATACTTCATCATCTAACTCTTCTACTCTTGCTTCCAATTCCTCCTTTTTTGTCTCTAATTCCTCAATATTTCCTTCATAATCTCTCTTTTGTTCATAAAGTTTTCCATTAGTTCTGCTTCATTTTCCAACATAATCTAACCATTGTGAACTTAATTCATTAGAACTATCAATAAAACCTTCTAACATTTCTTCAATTGTAATGTTATCTAATCAAATTCTTTTACAATTCTTAGCTCATTCCCTAGTTTCATTAGGATCTACTGCCATTATTAATTTGCCTTCATCCATTCATTTCTTGTTTAGTTTCTTATATCATCTTGTTCCTGTAGGAGCATACATACTAGCTTTACCCTTTTCATCAATAGACTGACCAGTAACATGTCAGATTTTTAGTTTAAGATTTTCTTCTTTATCTGCTAATTGCTTCTTTAAATTTTCATTTTCTTCTAATAGTTGTTTATTTCTCTCTTGGAATTCATTTATTGTATTTACCATGATTTTCTTTTTTTATTTATTTGCTCTTTTAATATACTAATGTACTTTTATGAGGGTATATAAATTATTTTAGTACTTTTTTACTTTAAAAGTGGAAAAAGATTAATGGGTGGCAAAGTCATGGAAGTGATTTTATTCCAAATATTTTATTTGTTGCCAGCATAGGATGGTCTTGGGCAAGTAGTATCTTTGTATTCATCTTTCACAAATGGGCGAATATTGTTATAAAGGTATTCTTGCCTTTTGTAGTCCAAAGGAGGTGGGATTAACACTAAAATAGATAAAGCTCTAATTTCTTCAAAAATATCTGCTTTCTTGATTTTCAATAAATTGAATTCAGCAAAAGGTCCATTAGCAACTTCTTGAACTTTCACTGTACCAAGATTAGATGCTTCAAAAAGAAAATGTTGATATTTCTGTATACTTGGTAATTTCTTAAAATAAATTCCCAAAATAGCTTTAATATCTAAGTATTGAAAACCTCTTCCACCTTTATAACATTGAGCTTTATTCAATCCTGCTGGACTTGATCTTTTCACAACTTCCACAACATGATCCACACAATCTACACTTGTTTTCTATAAAGTTTTTTAATCGATCCAAAACTACCATCACATTTGAATTTGGTGTGTCCAGGAATCATGAAATTCAATTCAACACTTTCATAATATCCACAAATTTGTAGGAACAATTCCAAACAAACGTAATCATACTTATGTAAGTGATCTTCGTATGATGATAACAGCTGGTAAAAATGGCTTTCAACCTGTAAGCATTTATGCAAGAAGAGCAAGAAAACCTCTTTTGAGTCATCTAGAAGATGATCCATCAAGTATTTATCCTTCATTAATATATTTTTTGATTTTATTTATATTTTTTATTAATAATCAATGTATTTTAAAACAGTAACTTCTTGGGAAATGTTAGGCACAAATTTATCTGTAAAAAAAGCTGATGGTGAATGGTCATCAGAATCAGAACGGTTATTGTTGATGGACCGTAAAGATTTTAATCAATTAGGCATAGGAGTTGATGATTTGATAGATGCTTATGTACAGACTTGTTTAGCAGTTATTGCAATTGATAAAATGTGTCAAAAGTTGATGCCAGAAGAAGGGAAATTTGATTTTAATTTATTCAGAGCTTTAAATCCTGATGAAACTTTGTTATCAGAAATATTAGAGTAAACACTTTATAGGAGCAAAGTAAGGATAAATTTTCTAATACACAAATATAAATAATCGTATTTATATATACTTATATATATATATTCAATTATTTCTTTTACAACTGCCTGTTTATTATTTTGGGATTGTATGCTAGCTTTAATAATTACTTTTTTTTTTTAATATCATGTTTCAATAACAATAGAAATGATGGAATTTCTTATTTACATAATAATATTCAAATAAACTTTGTAATCACAGTTTCTAATTTGCTATCCATCAGTTGTCAATATCCATAAACTTTTACTAGGAACAAGACAAATTAAATAGTAACCTTCATTCCATTAAAGAATATTTTTTTCTGTTGAAATTATAGTAACACTAGATGCAGATTATTGTTTAAACTTGCAGTTGCCAATACCCACAAAGTTTTATTAGAAGCAAAGCCTTTAGTATAGCAATTAAGAGATCAAATTTTTAATATTATAACTTTATGAGAAATTGTAAAAGCAATGTTTGTTTTATATAATTTAATCTAATTAATTCAAATATTCATGAGGTTTACTCGAGACAAATACATTATATATATAGTAACTTTTTTACTATATATTAAGGTAGATGCATCTTTATTAGTCGGAAAAATTTATTTTAACTACAGTGCAAAATTAATTTTTTATTTATAATGATTTAATTACATTGTTAATTTCATCATAAAAACAAATAATTCAAATAAAACGAATAAAATGAATAATTCGAATAAAAAGATATAATTCGAATAAAACGAATGAGTAATTTTGAATAAACGAATAAAATG